AGAAGGGAGGGGCGTTTTATCATTAGGTTCAGCCATGTTCCCAAGGTCAAGTGAGGGTCAACAGAAAAAAACCAGGGGTCACAAGGGTTAGTGTTTGATCCTCAGCAGGAGGGCCCTGCGCCTCCTGTGTTCCCCTCCACCGCCCCAGCCAAGTTCATCCTTACATGGAGTCCTGAGCAGGCCTAGGCTCCTGAGGCAGCGTCTTCCCCGTCTGCCCCTGGGAGTCTTGCCTATTCTTTTAGGTCTCAGCCCTTCGTCTGGTGAGCCCTGACAGCCCAGCCGGCATGCGCAGAACATTTGCCCTCACATCTCTCTGAGACACCCCATTTCATTTCCAGGCAGTTAAGACTCTTAGATCACGCTCCTTGGACACCAGAGGGCTTGCGGGGGGGGGGGGAGCGCAGGCTGTACGGCTACACAGGCCTGGGCTCGTTCCCAGCTCTGCCCCTCCCTGACAGTGTGTCTTTGGGGGGACATCATGACAATTCAGAGCTTTGCACAGCACAGCATGGCGCCAAAAGCAGTTTGTTGGTGGCCCTGGGGACAGCCAGCAAAGAGTTAAGATGGTCCCGGCCCCTCTGAATTCCACGTGACCCTGGGTTGCTGAGCCTTCAGGTCTGCGGTGGACGCTCTTCTCCAGACTCATTTTTTGCTGGTGGCTCATGGAAAGTTTGGCTTCTTGAGCTCCAGGCCACTCCCTGTGGGGCTGAGGCCTTGCTGACGCTGGTCCTGTCCTGGAAGGGCGTCCAGGGCCGCCAGCCCGCCCTGCCTCCTGTGCATCCTTGAGCAGCGCCCCCTTGTTCTCCCTGAGGACGGAGCAGCAGCCCGCTCGCTCTGGTGACACGGAGGCCCCCTCAACAGCCCCATGCAGGGTCACTTTTTACTTAGGGGAAAGAAAGCCTTTTCCTGCTAAAGTCCCCAGCATCTGTGAACTGCATCCCTTCGAGAGTTGTAGCGGGTAGGCGCCAACTTGGACATCACTGGTCAGAGCTGCGTCTCGGCTCCACAGCTCAAGGCTGTGTGACACGGCTGGGTCTGCTACTTCCCCTCTCGGAGCCCGGTATATTCAGGTGCAAAAAAGGAGAATGACGTTCCTCCAGCAGAGGAGATGAAGTAATACAGATGCTCAGTGCGTATTTTCAAAAAACGATCAGAGTGCTTAGAGCGAAACAGGACACGCAGAAACCCACCGGATAGGATGGCTCCATGGGCCCGCTGTGCCTTGTATAGACAAAGAAACTGAGGCCTAGCTCCGGCCCCCCGCCAACCCAGGGAGAAGGAGGACGGGGGCCATGTGCTTGGAGCCAGAGATGGCCAAGATGGAGACCCAGGGCACCTTTCAGTTCCATGGCAAGATGCCTGGGAAGCTGGGCCTCCGTGCACCTATCTGTGAAGTGAATGGGTTGAACAGAAACAGTGTGCCCCACAGAGGTGGCTGGGGGAGAGCCATGGGAAGAAGGGACCTTCTGCTAGAGATCACGCCATGGTGAGCGGCACTGGGGAGCAGAGTCCCTGTCTTTGAAGCCAGATTTGGGGATGGGCTCCTCTTGCAGGATGGAGTTAAGGATTTGGAGCCCTGTGGTTCTCCAGTGAGCCTGGACGCCCTGCCAAACCAGAAGGAGGTGGAGGATGCAGGGTGGGAGGGGCACAGCAATAAAACCCTCTGGGCCTCAAGCCTGGCTTTAAGCAAGAGTCAAGCAAGCCTTGACTCTGCTGACCCAAGGTCAGGGTCACAGCTACGGGGGCTCTGGGGTGGCTCGGGAGTCAGGGGCAGGGGAGGAGCCTATGGTCAATATTGACCTAGCTGAGTCAGGAGAGCAGGAAGCGGGAAGTGGGAAGCGGGAAGGCTGGGGTGGGGCTTGCCGATAACCAAATCTTCCAGCTCCAGCGTGATTGTGGGAACTGGGGAAGGGGATGCTTGATGCAGAATTCCCGAATTGGGTGCTTACTAAAGCTACAGCTGCCTGGAACCCTGCCCAGCCCTAATGTAGTCTACTCTCTTGAGGGTAGGGCCTAAAACATCTGTATTTTTAGCAAACTCCCTGGGTGACTCTGTGGCAGCCAGCTCACTTCCCATATTTGGGGACCACTGAGATCCAGAGAGGGAAAGTCATTCACCCAAGGCCACGCAGCAGGGGTGGGGGCGTTGATGACCACTCTCCCCTTTTTCTTGGGGGAAGGAATAGTCTACTTCTAGAGAACTCCATCCACCCCCAGCTGTGGCCCAGGGCCCAGGAAGGGATGGCGGGGCCAGGCTGCACAGAGGGAAGTGGCCCCTGATCTTGGCAGGCCCAGATGGAAAGAGAGGGTGAGGCTCGTCTGGGAGGAAGGACAAGGAGAGGGGGCCATTCCCACAGGACTGGACCTGCCTGGCCCGGCCCTGTGCAAACACTCCCAGCACCTGCTGAGGGATGTTTCCTAAAAGATCTGCTAGGGCCCCAATCTGGGGGAGGCCATCTCCTTTGCTGGACACCCACCCACTCCCTCAGCGCAGTTGATTGGGGCACACTTGTGCCCCGGACATTTCTCACCTTCCTCAGCTTCCTCCCCAGCCCTTTCTCCTTGGCCCCTCAGCCTTTGCCTCCACTTTCCACTCACATCTCAACCGGTCCGGCACCTGCACAAAGCCCCCCAGAGCCCTCACTCCTCCTGCTTCTTCCTCTGGTTCCCACACACTTTGCCCCTCTAGACCCAGTCCCCACCGCCGCCTGCCCTGAGTTCTGGCTCTCTGCATGGCTCTTGCTCACTGGGGTGGCGTCAGGGATTCGTGGGACAGGCGTCCAGCCTGCTCTAGCCTGTTCCGGAAGGCACTCAGAGCGGCCAGGATTCAGAGTCTCACCTCCCTCCCTCACATCCTGGACCACGGTGGGCTGGTTCCTTCCCTGTGTGCTCCACAGGCTCCTCGTTCACGGAGTGAAGAGAAAAGCAGGGCCCAGGAGAGGCTGAGAGCACATGTAAGGGAGGCAGGGCGTGCCGTTGTCCTTGCAGAGGTGGCTGTGATGCTCAAGCCCCCACGGCATCCAGTCCTCCTCCATTCCAGCAGCAGTGATCTGCCGGGGGCTACTCCTTGCAAGAGTGAAGACACCTGCTGCACGTGGCCTGAGCAGGGACCACATGCTGTCACAACTTCAGGGCGTGCCTAGGTTTGCAGGTGCTTGCTCAGGTGACTTCAAAACAGAGGGCTGTGTGAGGTGGGTAGAGGGGTTGTGGAAGCCCATAGAAGGACAGACCCAATGTGTGTTGGGAGAGAGGAGGAGACTTCTTGGACAGGACACCAGCGCTGTGTCCTGAGGATATAAGGAGGCATTGAGTTGCACAAAAGAAGGAGGAGCAACCAGCCCTCTACAAAGGATCTTGGAGTATGTGGGCAGTGAGGAGGTGGAGACTGTAGGTGTAGACAAGTGAGATATGAGGCAATAGCTGGAAAGGGCAGAGGGTCAAAGACAGAGGGGTTCTTAAGATTCCCAGTTACCATGTGGTGGCTGTCTAGAGATGGCAAATGCAGACCAGAGCGCAGAAGACCCTGGGGGAAATGGAGCTCGGCCCTGGAACCCTGGCTGTGCCCAGCAAGAAGCCTCTTTGCCTACGAGTCCTGTTGTTTTTATCCTCAGAATAGGGCTGTCATAACCGGGAGGGGAGGTGTGGTGAAAGATTTATGAACTATAAAAGGTCATGCTCCATTAGATAAAAATAGTCTTTACATGGAGTTGGTACTGTTTGAGGGGGCAGGGCTACCTCTTGAGGTCAACTGGGAGCATCCACAGCCCAGAGCATAGGAGCCCCCCAGCAGGGCGCAGGACAGCCTGTAACCTGCTCCTGTGCTTCCATCTGCTGGCAAGTGTCTGCAATGGCATCCCAAGCCTCAAGCCCTCCCTCCTGTCCAGTAGGGAGATCATGAAGGCACTGCTGGGCAGCCTGGCACAAAGATTTGCAGGCTCCAGGGCAAGAGCGCAAATGAAAGCCCCAGCTCCCTCTGCAATCAGCCTTGGCCTCTGCTCTCACTGTGAAGGTCCTCACCTGTGCGCTAGGAGCACATGCCCCGTGCCCCGCCCCCTGGCCGCCCCGCCCCCTGGCCACCCCACATAGCAGCAGTGAAGACTGACCCAGAAAGTGGCTGGTGCGAAAGTCCTGGAGCCCCAGAATGGCAGGAGCATGGTCTAGAGGGGACTGCAGGCTCCAGAAGGCACATCCCCCGTCCTGTGGAACTCAGGCCTCTTAGGGGACATGGTTTAGAACGACCAGCTCTGTCTGGTTTGACCAGGACTGTTATAGGCTTAGCACTGCAAGTCCTGTGTCAGCAACTAGGACAGTCGGTCACCTTGTGGTCTGAGGGGAGCCGAAGACTCTGTGTTACCCCCTGACTTGGCCTGAGTAGCTTGGATTCAGAGAACCAAACTAGCCTCTAATGTGGCCTCTAACGGGCCGGTGGAGCCCCTCATGCCATCCCTTTCTCCAGCCCCACGGTCCCGGCCCTACTCACTGGGTCCACACAGAGTTTGTGGGTAAAATGACCCTTCCTTCTCCAAACCAGTCTCCAGGGGCTTTGAGGCCCAGGGGTTTGTCTGTGAGGTTGGGCTGAGGGAAAAAAAAATGGGTGGGGAGGGACTTCTTCTGAAGCAACTTCCTCCTTACACAAGGAACCAAGGGCCTGGAGGGGACTTGCCCCAGGTCCCCGAGGGAGACTTTGCTGGTTCCTGTTTGTGACAACCCCTTTGCTTTTGTTAAGCGACCCCCCTGTGCCTGAGAGCTCCCTCCCTGGCTCTAAGGTTGGGGCACTTGGTCCAGGCATACTTTCCCAGTGATTGGCTCAGCCTTGAGCATGTGACCAAGTGGGTTCAATCAGAATGGAGACCTGGGTTTTTATTTGGCAACCGGGGAGATCTACAACAGGAAACAAACGACCTCCCCATGCGTGCTTGAGCCAGACAAGGAGACAGCGTGCACAGAAGTTTGTAGCTATTTATTGCACTGAAAACACCAAGAATAAAACAGACGCCCGTCTTTTCCCCCCTCCCTCCCCAATAGCAGAAAGTTTGAGCAGTGGTCATTCAAGTTCACAGCCACATATTTTTAAAAACAGAAAAGAAAACAAGAAAGAAAAGAAAGAACCGAAACAAAACCCCAAACAGATAATAACAAAGAAACCAGCACGGGGAGTCTGCAAACACATCCCCCCAGGGGGTCTTCCCTAGAAGGGAGACAGGAGGCCACGGTCAGGGTTAGCGCCACGGGAGGCATGAACCCAGGAGAATACTTTCCTGTAAACGTGTTTGCATGCTGGAACCTAGGTCTTGTCTTAGGTCTGGATTTTTTTTGCATCTACAGGGTGTTTTGGAGGAGCACAGAGTTGACTGTCTGGTGGGGGTGGGCTCTGGGCTGCTCTGTCCGCCATCCTCCCTTCCCCGCCTGCTGCCCCAGGATCACACGGGTGTCCTGTGGCCCGCGCCACCTGGCTGACTCCACAGGTGTGGCCTCCACAGCGGGCCACGGGGAAGGGACTGCCTCCACTTCCTGGTACTTAGAGAGGGACACAGTGGACAGGAGGTGTGTCAGCAGATGAAAGGCAGGACATTGGTGTCCTCCAGCTCAGTTTCCTCTGGTGGGAAACTGAGGACTAGCACGGGGAAAGGACTTGCCCAGGGTCACACAGCAAGTCTGGTCAGAGCTGGGAATGGCATCCTAATAACCCCCAAACCACGGCTCCTGCCCCACAGTTCACTGCTGGTAAGCAGCGGACAGGCACCAAAGAGGAGACTTGAGGGGGCAGGCGGGGGAGGGGAGGGGACTGGCCAGGCTCAGAATGGAACAGGAGTCCAGCCAGGGACTAACCCTGTCGGTTCTCATGGACATATTGGGCTTCTCCTCGCCACCCCATTTGATCCCCCATCAGCCCTGCAACACAGGCTGGGCAGGAATGTTTAACCCCTTTGACTGATGGGGACACCAAGGCTGAAGAAGGGACCAGACTTGGCCTTGGTAGCTGCAGCATCCCCTGGCGAAGGCCGCACCTTTGGCTTGGGGATGGCCGTGGGAGCTGGCAGCTCACAGGGAGGCAGGCGGCTTTGCTTCAGGGGCTCTGGGATCACTGCGCTTGACTGGGGAGCCCTCTGGGCCTGGGACAGGCCAAGCGCCCACCCCTGGGCCTCGGCAGCAGGGTCTCTGCCAAGGCTAGAGGCCAGTGATCAACCAGTTTGGAGACCGGGAGACTCGGGCAGCCTCTTTCCTGGCCTGTAGCCCCTGGCCTGCCTGCCTCACCTGTCCCTGGGGCAGCAGCAGTTGAGAGAAGAGCCCAGCAGACAGCCCGCAATCAGGGAAAACTCAGAAAGGTCAAACGTCCCCATCAGTCCTGCTCCAGCCACCACCCAGGACTCCCCAGAGGGAATCAGTGCCTCCTCCCAAGCCATGGGGATGTGGCTCTTCCTCCCCTAAAATCCTCCAGAGGGGACAATATCTCATGCTGGCAAAACACGGCCACACAGAGGCCAAAAGCACAGAGAGGCAGCAACATATTTCCGAGTCGGACACTGAGAATACAACCTCTATTTCTTTTTTTGTCCAAAACATGTAGATTGGATTTGCTGAGTGTTTTTTCTTCTTTTCTGGTTTTTTTCAACATACTTACTGCATATAAAGTCATGCAAAGAAAACAGTGCAGACAGTAGATCCTAGTGGACGTGCCAAGGCTTCCACATCAGAGTCAATTCCCGGGGAAGAGGGCGCAGGGGAAGAAGGAACGATGCGAACCCACGGCTGCGGCACGAGGCGTGAAGAGTAGACATTCCAGGGCTCTGCTTGGACCAGCAGACACCGAGGGGGCAGACGATGAAGACACATGCTGATGAACCACCCCCAGAGATGGGTGGGGGTGCTGGGGGTGGCACGCAGATGAGGTGGGATGAAATCCTGGGATGCGCCATGATGAGGACCCCGGTTTGGGAGGCAAGCAAAGAAAAGTCCAGGTATTTCCATCCTGACAACCTCCCTCACTCTCTCCGCCCCGATTTACTGTTGCTTATCAGCACCAACAACTGATTTGGTCCTCAAAAGAACCTTGGGACCAAAACTTCCGTGACGTCCTTCCCGCTAGGGCTGAGTCCCGCTGCCTGCCGGGGGTGACCATTGGTGACAAATCCATCTCAGAGATGACATTTAAAAATAAATAAATAAAAGACCTAGAACAGAAAAAAAAAAATGCCCCTCTGCCCTCTTTCCACCTCCCTTCTCAACTCAACCCAACCCTCTTCGCAATAATTGAGAGGTCTAGTTATTACATAAATATCCATTAACGCGAAACCCATTTACGAAACACACAGGAGTTTGGCTATAAAAAGGCATGCGGTCCAAGTAGAAGTGATACCTAAACATTGCTTTCTTTTGCCCCCAAAAAGCAATCAGGTTTTCTCCCTTAGATGTGATGAAGCTGGAATTCCCCAGGCCTGACGGAGGGGTGGAATGGGCAGTTAGTGTTGGAGGTAAACATCAGAGAAGGAAGAAGGAACAAAGTGGGGGCACCCTGAGAGGATCGCGCCCCCCACACCGAGGGAGAAGCGGCAGGCAGAGACCGGGAGGGAGGGCAGGACAGGAGAGGAGGTTGGGTGGCAGTCTGAAGCAGGAGGCTCCTGGTGTCTGCTCTTCTCTCTCTCCCACAGGGGAGGTCGGCTCGGGGGGTTGGGGGTTCATCTGCCTTTCCCAAGGGGGATCCCTGGAAGAGGAGAGATCAGGGATCTCCCGACTCGGCCTCTCCTTCTCCCCGGCCCCTGGGCGAGCACACAGCTGGGCCTTCTGGTCTGCATCCGAGGCCAGCCAGGCCTGTGACAGCCAGGTGGGAGGGCCAGGGGGCCACGCAGGGCACCCAGGCCTGAGGAAGCTCCGCCCTGGCCGGGGACAGAGACTGAGAGTGACAAGTGGTAGGTGGGGAGATGTGGCCTTTTGCTCTGAAGACGTGATGGCTTTTGGGGGTAGGCTTTCTTGAGGCAGGTATGAAGGTGACGGTGATGGTGGTGGTAGCGGGCTGACGTGATTGAGGGAATTCCAGCAAAATCCAAGGTGGGAGAAACAGCAGCGACATTCCACGAACGAAGAGTAGATCTCTGCAGTGCAGTGCCCCAGGCTGGTCCCTCAACTGGAAGACACCATATGTGTGGTGGGTATGTGGGCGCATCTGAGGGCGCCCCATTTCCTCCGGCAACCACCCGGCCTTCTTCCCTAGAAGGAGTTCCAGCTGCCACCTACGGGACCCGCCCAGCTCTTCCCCTGGGACCTGCACACCGGCTGTCCTCCCGCCCCCACCCCATGGCCTTCCTTTAGATGGTGCTAATGACAGATGGCAGGAAGGAGGGGCTCTTACTGGGGCAGGACAGAGGGTGCCCCAGATCTGTGGAAGTGGACGATCTGCCATTTGCCGTCCCGGCGGTGCCAGACGCGGGTCTCCTCGGACTGGGCCGTGCGGGGGATGCCGCCGGCGTCCAGGTACTGTGTGATACGGATGTAGGCGATGCAGGCCGACTCGTCACCCATCAGGTGGATGTGAGGGTTCAGAATGGTGGTGTGCACGGGCTTGCTGTTCCGGGACCACACTGCAAGGCAGACACAGGAGCGCGCGGAGCAGATGCAACGGGGGGCCTCCCGCCTGTCTGCCTTCGCTTCCCTGACTCCCCACCACCGTCCCCGTGGAGGCCCCTCTGCCTGTCTTGTTTCCAGAGGAGCGGCCTCTGTGACAGGCTGTGACAGGGCTCAGCTACCTGGGCATCGAGGCAGAACTTCTGGATGACTGGGTCATATCCCAGCTTAGATACAATGGGTTTCCAACTAAAGAGTCTTCGAGTCCAGGGAAATGGAGTTTTAGAATCATAGTGTCTCAGACACATAGAAATATAGGACTAAGATGATTATAAAATCAAATCGGTTTAGACTAGAGTCTCAAACCCAGATCCTTACAGAGGACAGGCAAGTACATATAAATGAGGGGCTGAGCTGGTACAAGATGCTAAATGACAACTGACCGTTTGCCTCTGTGTAAGGAAGCAATAGGGAGTGGCAGAGGTATGGTGAATAGCTTGCCACGTCCCATCAGCAGAGGGCGCCCTGCACACAGCTTCCCTGTGGCTGCTATGTGAGCACATGGGATCCCTGTGGCCTCAGTCTCTGACTTCTTAGGAGAATCTAGAAATCTGGATTTTTATCTGGAAATGTCTCATTTTTAATTACTGGCATCTAATCCAAATTTAAAACATCATGCAGGCCACATAAAACACATATGCAGTCCAAATGTGGCCTGAGGGCTTCTCATTTGCCACCTCTATTCTCAACATGTAGAATTATGGAAAATCGCAGAATATTATAGCCTTTTAGAGTCTTGGAATTGTAAGGATGGTACTTGTGGTCATGGGGTGAGGTAATGAAGCTTTTTCAGAGTTAGGGAGAAATGCATAACTCTTATAATCCTGATAGAGCTGGGAAGAAAATCTGAAACTTCTTTCGCTATGGAAGATATTAGCCTTTATTATTATTATTATTATTATTGTTATTATTATTACCACCTATTTTGATTCTAGGAACTCTTCATGTTTTTTAGCAAGATAGAAAGCAAAAGCACAGAAAGACGATGACCCAGCGAGGGGCTGGACAGGGCTCATGGGCTCCTGGGGCTCCAGAGCAACCCTATGTTTTTCCTTAGTGCAGCCCAAATGTAGGTCCAAACCCCTTAGAGATGCCAGTTCAGGAATCTGTAGTATTGCCCTGGCCGGTGTGGCTCACTTGGTTGGAGCGTCGTCCCGTAAACTAAAAAGTCGCAGGCCCAGTTCCCAGGCAGGGCGCATGCCTAGGCTGCCGGTTCAGTCCCCAGGAGGGGCGCCTACAAGGGGTGCCCTGTTAGGGTGCATATGAGAGGCAACTGGTCGATGATTTCTCTCTCTCTCTCCCTTCTCCTTTCCATAAAATCAGTGAGCGTGTCCTCAGGTGAGGATAAAATAAATAAATAAGTAATTTAACAAAAACAATCTGCAGTATTAAAAAAACTCCCATCCCCTTTCTTACCCTCTCTGATTCTGATGCCCAGCCAGGTTTGCAAGTCACCGATTTCCTGAAAAATCTAAAATGTCTTTTTTCCCCCTCAGGACTTTAGAAAGCCTCCCATAATATCCACTTCTAATTTTATAATCACCTTCTACCCAGATTTTGGATAAATGACTCAAAATTCACTGGGTCTTAGGTATGTAGACTAACAGACTTTTACAATTCTGGGTTTTCAGGGAGAATGTAACAGCTTATGTAGGCTTGGGTGCGACTCAGAGGTCAGAGGTCATCAAGAGGCCCTTGTATAAAACGCAAAGAGGCCTCCGTAAGGATCCTTGACAGCATCCAGAGCTGAAGGCATTTAAGATGGTCTAGTTCAACATACCCATTTAGCAGATCTGGAAACTGAGGTCCAGAGAAGCAATCTCACTTGTCCCAAGCTGGGCCAGTTTCTAAAAGAAATGCAGTAGAACCTAAAAGAAGTCAGTCTCCATGTGGGACTGAATTAGAACAACCTGGAACAATCCCAGAAGGGACAAGCAGAGCTCAACATCGTTGAGGGCACTGGGCCTTGCTGCTATTGATGAGGGTGGGGGCCCTGAGGGACACCTGTAAAGAAACAACCACCCTAATGTGGTGTCTCTTGAATAGACTGCAGGCTTTCAATGTCCACCATTGTGGATAGCATGGGAGAAAGACACCAGGTCCTCCGGCAGGAAAAGGTAGGGCTTGGCCAGGAGTGGGCAGTTACTCTGGGTCTGCGTCTCATGGGGTCCTCTGACATGACCAGATGTGCAAGCCTAGAGTTTAGGTGCCGGTGCTATGACAGGGCAGACTGTCCAGACACAGGCCAAGGGCTAGCATGGATTTCTCTCTGTGTTCTTTTCTCTTTTTCCGTCCCTGAGCCCTGTGAGTTAGCTCAGCCTAGCCTCTGCTCTGCTCTGTGAAGTCTGTGGAGGATGCACCAGGGAACCAGCACCCCCAGAGACAGACCAGTGGAGAGATGGCTCCAGTGACCAGCCAGGAAGCTCTAGGGCAATGGGGACCATGGGGGGCCCAGCTGCCTCTCTTCACGTGACAACTCAACTTCCATTGCTAGCCTTGGAGAATCAGAGTTTGATCAATCAAGGAGAAATGCGGCTTCCTTCTTCACAGCTCTTCGGGGGTGCTCTTGAGCCCCTGCACTCTGTAAGATTCAGTCAGATTGGGTGCAGGCAAGAGCGTCCAGCTGGCGGCCACAGACGCACGGGTGAGAGCAGCAGCACATGGAAGGGATGGGCCCTGGGGTAAGTCGGGGCTGGAGTCTGCCACCGACTTTCTGGGTCCCTTCGGACAAGTCACTTCCCCTCTCCGGGCCTCAGTTTCCCCTCTGGGTGATGAAGAGTTGGACTAGGTTCTACTGTGATATTTACACAGTATTAAGTGATATTAAGTGATATTTAGTCACTTAAATATCACCTTTATGTTAACCCACAAGGACCACCTGTACTGTCATTGATTTCTTAAATCAATGCACTTTATATAAATGGATTTTAAAAGAAATGCCTCTAGCACAATCATTAGTGAACAACCACAATCACAGGACACAACTTGAATAAGTCCAGCGAAAATGAAAGGAAGTTATGTAATCCTAGCTCCACCCTCCTGCCTGCAAGAGACCTCAGCCTGAGACTGCCACTCTCTTTGATGAAGAGGGAAAGTAGAAATGTTAAGAGGAGTTCAAGACAGACTGGCACCCAACTGAGCCTTTACCCTTGATGGAGCCAGACGTATTGAAAGAGAATTTAGAAAGGGACCGGCTTTCTCACTGAGAACCAGCGTGTCTGAGCACTGCCCACGTGCACCGGAAGTCATCTAGTGAAGCCTCATTGGTGCACGCCCTCCCTTTGGAAGACCCTGGGCATGTCACCTCTCGAGGCCTTCCTCCAAGTCCTGAGCTGCATGATCCTAACCTGCATGCGCTTTGGGTCGTCCCCATCAGACCCCTGGCCAACGTGAGACACGGACATGGGCAGAGAGCACCCTAGGTCAGGCCAAGGCTCAGCCCCTGACAGCCCCTGGTTGCAAAGCTGCTAGCCTCTCCTGCAGAGGAGAGGCCCAGAAAGGACAGACATGCGGACAGAGACCTCAACAAACAGGCAGGACACAGCAGTGTGAGCTCTGGGCCTCTCTTCCCGAGACTGCCCACCCAGAGGGGACACGTGCATAACAACCCACGAGCCAGCTTGTGACCAGCTGGGCAGCTGGGGTGGCCCCAGGTGTCAAGATGACTGCAACTCGGGTGTGTGCCCTCATGGGAAGGCTTCCTTATCTGTAAAATGGGAACAAGATTTCCCAAGATCCTCCCTGAGGAGGGTCACAGGCAGGAGAAGGCTGGGAGGGCTTGTCACGCTTATCCCAGGTCCCCATCCTCAGCCACAGGAGGGACAGCTGGCAGTCGGACGGGCCAGGGTTATGAGGGGGAACCAAGATGGTACCGACCCCTGCCCACATGGGATCTTTCTCTTCCTGGCTCCTTAGCCACCCCGGCTGCCCCCACCTGTCACCCTGCTGTGCCCCCCGGCAGGACATGGAACGAGAGCAGACAACAGGCACCCCAGACTGAAGGAATTGCTCACGGTTTTCAAAATAGAATCGATGGAAGTCCAGGCCCTCGACCAGGTTCCCCAGGGCCTCGGGTTCGAAGGCTGTCATTCCGGGGTCACACATCTTCCTGAGGGGAGGAAGTCAGAGGAAAGAGGGGCTGCGGTGGCCTTTCAGAGCCACCCTCTAATCCAGGGTCCTGGACCCAAGGAGGGTGAGTCTGTAAAACTGGAGTGATTGCACCCACCTTATAAGATCAATGAGGCTGATGGATGGGAAAGGGGCTTGCACACCGTGCAAGGTGGGGCATGGCTGATGGGCTGGTGCCATTTAGAACTGGGAAGCCTGGGTTCAGGTCCTGGCTCTGCCATTTTCCCAGCAGGTGGCTTAACCCCTCCAAGCGAGAGCGCCACAAACGGAGTGCGGAATTCTGCCCTGCATAGCTCAGCCTGGGGGCGTCTCTCCAAATCGCATCCCGTCCTCCCATTCCTGCCCAGGGTAGCAGATCCACATAGGGGTTTCCTAAGTTGTCTTCCTGGGAAGGGGACCTTTTCCTTCACATCAGAGTGACTTCTGCTCACCAAGAAGGTCTGTCCTTGGACAGGGTGCATTTTGCTACTTTATGCAAAGATGCCCTCCTGGTAGCAGCAGCCCTCCCTGTGACCCTCTTTCCTCTTCCGTAAGATGAGGAAAAGAGCGTTCAGCAAAGCAATGCCTGGGAGGAGGGGGCCGGCGCGGGCTGGGGAGGCGCTGGGCCAAGGGTTTGCAGGGCAGTGCTCCCTTCCAGGTCTCAGTCTTCCTGGAGGCCCTGACAGCTGGGTAGGGAAGGGAAAAACTGTCTCCCCCACCCGCAGGTCTCTGTGGCACAACATGACCTCCTGTGACAATGACAGTGAAGCCAGAGACAGAAAGTATCCTGGGGAAAGCAAAGATCCCAATTGGTGGGGGCGTGGGGGGTTGGGGAGGGACGGGTACCGGAGACCATTGGGGAAGGGTGTGAGACCCCGCATTTTCTGAGCTGGAACCTTGGCTAGCACAGGGCGCCCTGTCCCTCTGCTGCCCTGACAGTCCTGTCCATGTGACCCAGGCAACTCGCTTTTCCACTCAGGACCTCAAATCCTCCAGGTGGATTAGCCAGGTGCTGAGACCATATGGGATGCTCAGGACCGTCCCAGCAGCAGAATCCTCCGAGGCTGGGGGTCTGAGCTCTGAGCGTCCGGGAGGCTCAGCATCCCCACCGGGGAAGCCCCTCTTCAGGACGTCCCTGGGCATCCCTGCCTCCGAAGGAGATCATTTGCTCCAACATCACTGTACATGTGGGGAAGCCAAGGTTCATGATACGAAGAGGCTTATCCAGGGTTACACAGGGCCAGACTCAGGGCACCAGGGGCCCTAGAGGTCACGGCAAGGGGTCAGAACCTAGAGTGAACTACAGATGCCAGAAGAAGTGATGTCACAGAGGTGGGAGCGGGCTCCAGAAATGACATGGGGAGGCGTGGGGCCCACAGGAGCCACCTCTTTCCCTCCTTCCCCAGCTGTGTCCTACCAGGGCCACTCTGGCTCCACCATGGCTGACTTAACTCTCTAGGGCCAGTGCAAACCCCAGTGGCCAGCGCATTTCCATGCTTTGATGCGACACCCAGGGCATACATGTCTGTGCCCACCCCTGTGCACACAATTGCAAACATACATGCATGGACAAGTGCCTACACATACACATACGGCCTCAGTCTCATACCTGCGCCTTCCAAGGTCCTGAGCTCCAGAGATAACCAGTAAATTGCTGGGGCTTTGCCACCTGTTGCTGTGGAAACCCCTCCCACAGGGGCCTGCCAGGGCTCTGGGAGACACACTTCAGCTCCTGGGCACAGTAGAAACCAGGAATAGGCTGCCCAAGGAGCAAACCCCAGCCAGGTTGTTGCCACCTCACCTGAACCTAACAGGTAAGGATCATTCTGCCTTAGTTGGCAGCTTTCATCCAGTAAGAAGCATGTGTGGGGTCTCCAGACCCAGGTCTTGTCAGCTCTGGCCAAGAGACAGAGGATTCAGCCAGGAATCCTGCTCTCCCTAGAGCCAGCTGAGGACAGGCTCAGGGCCTGCTTCTGGGCCAGACCAGGAAGGGCGTGGGAGGTGTCCACCAGGGGCCGCTCCAGCTCAGCCTTTGCACACAGCTGCCCATCCAAAGGTTGGACCAGATGTGCAGGGAACATCTTACACCACCTGTTTCATTTTGGTTTTTTTGTGCACACTGTCTTATTCTCCAGAGGGTTTAAGGTTCCATTTTGAGGTTCTTTTGTTCACCCTTGCTCACTGGAGGTACCCACCCTATGGATTCCTGCCCACTCCTGCCCCGCTGAGGTCAGAGGTCTGAGGAGGCCCAGGTTGAAGACCCAGGCCCATGCGGCAAGACTAAGGAACAGCCTGCCTTCCTCTCCTCCTTCCCAGCTCATCTCCTGGGCAACGAGCTATGAAGAGCAGGAGGAGCAGGACCGAGATATAGAGAAGCATAGTGAACCGAAAGCTGAATAAAAGCATAAAGTCTGAATGCCAAACAGAAATATGAGTTCATTCTGATTCACAGCACATGCAGAGTGAGTGACTGGGGCTCAGAGACGAGGACCCCAGAGTCAGCCATCAGCCCCCCGAACGACAATCCAGGCAGGACATGCAGGATGGGCCCAGACAACTCACGTGTAGGACTCAAAATCTCCATTGCTTATGGCTTCAATCAGCTGCTCTGTCACTTTTATAATTTCCTGTTTCCGCACTGTAAGGCAGGAGGGGACACAGAAATAGTAGCAATCGTGACAGTAATAAAGCACCAACTACCATTTCCTGAGTCCTCATCATGTGCCTGATGGCCTCATATACATCGTCTCATCTATCCTCACAGTAGTTGTGACAGGTAGGTAGCATTACTCCCATTTCCCAGGAGAAACTGAGGCCTAGAAAGGTGAAAAACGTATGAGGTCTCCCTCAACTACAAAGGGCAGATCCAGTGTTTTAGCTGGCAGCCTTTGCCTCCAAAAAGCAGCCACAGTGGGCATTCTGACCTAGACCTGTTCTCATTCCAAAATATGCTTCCCTATCACCTTGCTTTATCCCCTGAATCAAAACAAGGCAAGTGTGGTGGTTGTCACTAACAGCCACAAACCAGGGGCTCCTCTGTGGCCCAAACTGGGGCCGCTAAAGTGGGTGTCAGGGCTTACTCATTCTTTAGGTCTGGGGGGGCCTTTTGCTCCATTGGGGTGCCTGTAGGAATCAGGCACTGAGCTTTCCAGAACTTTCTAAGCATAATGAATCCCAGTTGCTGAGACCTGGCCTCCCCTGCCGACACTGAAACATGAACAGCTGCTGTCCTTCTGGTAGAGGGACAGACGTCACTTTTCTTAGTAGATCTGTGGTCCCCAATTTCCCCACCTGTAAAACGGGGCACCATCACCTCTCATTCATTCAGCGCCGGTGGCACTGTGGAGAGAGCCCAGGCTTCCGTACCAGACAGGCTTCCCCTAAAGTCCAACCCAAGCCCTTACAAGGCAGGCCACTGTGGGCCACAAAGCTGTTTCCTGGTCTGTCCCATGAAAGGACAGTGTCCCCTTCCTGGGGTTGGCATGACGGTGGGATGACGGGATGTGCACGGGGCACTCAGCCCAAAGCCTGGCACACAGCCGGTACACCGTGTAAGTGCCGTTTCCTGCACCCTCCCACACGGCCGCCACGGCTGCTCCTCGTGGGCACCCCGGGAGCCGGGCAGGGCGTTTCCCACACCTGACACCTGAGGCGACGAAGCCTCAGTGGTGAAGGAATTCGAAGTCAGGAGGCTCCCAGAAGGACACTCCTACCAGAGTGGACACATAGCCCATTTCTTGGTCTGGGACTGTGGGACAGAGACGACGCCTGGCTGAGGCCCTGTCCCTGACCTTTTCCTCACCCCTGCCCAGGACACCCTACCCCATCTCACACCGGGGAGCTCACCTCAGACCCAGACGACAGAGCGTCACAGGACAGCCAGGCTGGAAGAACCCCTAGGGACCAGGGACTCAGCCTCATTATCAAATGAGTGGGGAAATAATGGCCTGGAAAGGGGTTGTGACTTGTCCGAGGACACGGAACACACAGGGTGCAGAGTCTGGCTCCCAGCCCAGGAGATTTTCCGCACGACTCCAGCGCCCCTACCCTTGCCCGGCCACACTGGGCCTGTATGCTGTCTGTCCCCAGCTCAAATACGAGCTCTGTGGAGGCTGGGCCATGGCCGCCCTGGCCCCCGGACCCCAGGAGCCTGGAACCAGCCTGCCCCCACAGGGGCTCACGGTTCAGTAGACGAGGCCCCAGGCATTGTGCTGTGTGCTCAGCCTGCAGACTCTTACTGCTCACAGCACAGCTTCGCGCAGTTACTGCTTCCACCTCGGAGGTAAGCAAACTGGAGGTGAGAGAAGTTAAATGGTCTCCACTGGTGGACCAGCTGCCTGGCATTTGCAGCTCCAAAGCCCATCACACTCTCCCTCACACCACATGCCCCTCAGGGCAGGGGCCCTGCCCAGCACAGCGCTTGGCACTTGGTGGGTGCTCAGCAGGCATGGCAATTAGCATCGTCAATGTCTGTTACCACCGTGAACAAGGAGTTAGCTCTCTCTTGGCTCCAGTACAAATCATCGGGACTGGGAAGGGGTCTCTCTGAGACCGCGAGCTCTGCCAGGTCACTCTGCGGCCTTGCCTGGGGCTAGGGCGGAGGCAGCAGGAATAAGTGAATAAGCGACTGACACCGAACCAGGGTCTGGGCCTGCATTCTTTGCCCTGTTTCCTGGAATGGCCTACATCACCTGGTGGCCTCTGTCCCTGGGAACCAAAAGCCCGGCCTCCTGGTCGTCAACTCTGCCCTCCTTCATGGAAGCTGGAGACTGAGGGCGGGAAAAAACCCTCCGCTGGAAGATACCTCATTCCAGCCTCTGCTGTATGGAATCAAGGCGATGACCCAGAGAGTGTCCGTGGGCTCACGGCAGGCATGGAACCGTGCCCCTCCCTTGCCCCCTCCTTTGGACTTTAAGAACGCTTCCAGCTTGTTATTCCATGAGACCGTGCTTGACACCCTGCTTCCTCTGGGCAGCTTCTCCCTGCCATCTCAGACAGGCCAGCAAAGCGGTCAGAGACATGCGTTCCATAGCGAGACTCCCTGAGTTTGGACCCTGGCTCTGCCTCTTAATAATTGTATGACCTTGGGCAAGGGATGTCCCCATGCCTCAGTTTCCTCATAGGTATAATGGAGCTACTATTAGTACTTACCTCGTCAGGTGGTTCTGAGGATTATGTGAGTTAAGAATATATTAAAAAAAAAAATAGCTGGTACATATGTGGTCCTCACTAAGAACCAGCTATTGCTCCAAGCCCTTTATATCAATGTCTTTATGTAATTAACGATGCTTTATGTAAAGCTCTTAGAGCAGTAACTGGCACTCCATAAATGAGAGCTCTGATTATTGTCATGTTCGAGTCTTTGAATGGGACGTTGCTCTGGAGGACAGCCTCTCACCTCACCTATGGGTGCTCCCCCGCCGCCCAATATGTGGTTCGTCCTTGGTCGGCATTTGGGGACTTGCAGCCTCCTGGGCAGCCTGCTGCGCTGCTGGACAGCTCTCACCATTGGCATCTGCCTCCTTCTTTGTTCAGGCTGAAATCTGTCCCCCTGAAAGCCCCTAGTTGTTGTCCTTGTCCCTTTCTACCTTCTGGGGCCCTGCGCTGAGTGCCTGCTCCCCTGGACTTGGGCCTTCCCCCCCAGCGGTCTTCTGAGGGCTGAAGGCCTCCAGGATGTGGTTTGCAGGATCTGACCCCAGCTGGCCATCTGCTTTCCCAGGTCTCTGAGTGGTCTGGACGCCTCACTGAGTGTAAGCACACAATCCCAGAGGTGGCCTGGACATGGCAGAACACCAGGTCTGGGGTAGCACTCTGTGTCCCCTCCACATTCAGGACACTATACCTCTATTAATGCAGCCTAAGACAGTGCCTAATTTGGCTGTGCCTCCAGCCACTCAGGACACCAAGTCCGCCAACAGTCAAAGCCTAGTGGGCAGGAATCTCCCTAGCTTCATTCTCTGGGACAAAAGATCCGGGAATCTAGGGCTCTGTAAATCAGGAGAAGTTCACTCTGGTTCTGGGCTCCCCCACGCCCTCAGCACTCCCACAGCTGTGTGCAGGGTTCGTCCAGCATCTGCTCAGAGCAACCCGTACATTTCTATCTGCCACACATTCACCCGGCAGTGCGAGAGTGCCCCCCATAGATGCCCCGGAGAGGTTAAGACTCTCTCTCAAGGCCACACAGCACGCTGAGGCTGAGACAGGATCGGCATTCCTGGCTGACACGTGCCAGAACGTCTCTGCCGAGACGCTGAGGTCCTTCTTTGGGTTGCAGAGGAAATTAGCTTTTCCCAGAGCTGACCAGGAGGAGGCAGGAGAGTGGGGAGAAGCCTGGCTGAGCCCAGTAAGACCCGGGTGGGGGCGGGGAGCGGGGGGGCGCGCTGGGGGAGAGGCCTGGAGATGAAGCCCAAAGCGCTCTGAAATATTCATGTCCCTTTCTTTGCTCATGGGAAAATGTTCCCTGGAGGATGACATTTCCCATTAACTTGAATGTTAGGTCAGAATCCACCCCACCAGCTGCTATTCTCACTTAGGAAGAGGCTTAACAAATTAACACCAGAGCAGAGTTCTCTGGAAATGTTCTCTGAGGCCTGGAGAAGGCACCGGCTTCTCTTTCTGGCCAAACATGGGGAAAGCTCCTGGCTGAGCCAGCGTCGCTTCCATCAGACATGGCCTTTTACAGATGGGGAAACTGAGGCAGGAAACGGGGTCCCATTTCTGCCATTAACGACCCAGTGTGCCCTTCCTCTTCCTTGAGCCTTCAATTTCCTCCTGGAAGAGGGGCCTAGATGATCCAAATAAAATTCAAGACCGCAAATTTCCCATCCTGTTCTCTCTAAAGCAGAGAATTATGATGTAAATGCGGGTCCTCAGGGAATGTGACCCAGGGCCATTACCCCAGGTGGGACATATCTTTGGCAGCTTATGTTTTACATTAATAGTGCGTATAAATTTTGCATTCTCTTCCAAATATTTCCCTGTCTGTTCAATATATAAATATTTGCCTTAAAGTAATCTTTCAGGGAAACTGATGTTCCAAAAATGTCATGTTGCTTCCTGTCAACCACAAGCTCTAGTTTAAAAAAAATTAAGATTGATTAAACAATTACCATGTGCCAAACACCATGTAAGCCCTTTATATGCAGCCTCTCATTTCATCTTCACAGCAATCCCCTGAAGTTGGAACTACTATCATCACCTCTCTATTGTTAAGGAAATTGAGGTTCAGAGAGGTCGAGTAAGTTGTCCCAAGTCAACCAGCAAACGGACCCCAATAAAGAAACACAGAACTAGCTAGCCTCCATGGTCCCATTCTGCTCTGAGACTGGGATTATGAGGCCACAAAGAGTCTCCTCAAAATCCCAATCTTAACATTGTGACAGCAAGCCTCAAATATGGGGACCATCTTAGAAATGCCAGGTCTCAGCTCAACATAAAACTACAGAACTGGAATCCACAGAGACAAGGCCGGAATGTGGTTAGAAAATTATTCTGGGAGGGACTTAGAATGCTGACTTGACTCTAACAGGGAACTTTTGTGTTTTTTCCCCATTGCTCTCCTCTGCCCCGCCACATTGGAATTCTTCTTCAAGACAATATATTTTTTTAAAGGCTGTCACTAGTGCCATCATAGAAAACCGATTTGCGCTAATGCCAGGCTATGGCGTTAGGGACCAACCCCCTTCCCCCCAGCTAGGACTGACCAGAGAGGGGCACACACAGGGCAGGCTGACCTTCCAGGGTCTCCTGGCAGAGTCAAGAGGTAGCCATGGCATTTACTGTATCAAAACTACCTTGAAGCCTGAATTGCCACTGTGCAAAAATATTTATTATATAATAAAATGCTCTTTTCACCATCATTGTATTTTTTTAGAGATAAACTATTTAAACTACTGAAAAATATCTAAACGCCTCTGGCATGTGCCTGAGTGTGAGAACCGTTGCAGTCTCTGGTCTCCCTGTCCTCGTGGAATGTGGAGGGCTGGGTGCAGACAGAACATGGAACATCCCCACCTCACCAAAGGATCTGGTGTCCCCTGACCGGAAGGCAGCGCTCGGCCCTCACTCCCCTCAGTTCCATGCACCAAGGCCTCCAGAGAGGTCCTTATCAGCTGGACCCTGGAGCCACACTGCCTGGGTTCGAATTCTGACTCCACCCTTACAAGCTATGGGACCTGGGGACAATCGACTCAACTCCTCTGTTTCCTGGCCTGTGGATTGCAGTTAATTACAGCACCTACCCCATAGGGTAGTTATGAAGCTCAGGTCAGCATGAAGTACTTCCAGGCTAGCCCCCAGCAAGCATCCCAATTAAGGCAGCCATTCCGCCCATTACTGTCCTTATTGTTTCCTCTCTCACTATCCCATCGCAGCTCTCTGGCGGTTTTCTCTCTCCTCCATCGGAGGGCTTTTGAGGGCGGTTAGTCACCAGCCATAGTCACTCCCGCAATCTCGGTTGCTCTTGGCAGCGTTGCCCATACTTCCCATGCAACTGAACTTTCTGTGTCTTGGCTTTCTCTTCTCTTATGATTATTACATCATGTTTTAAAAATCAGCACACTTAAAAAATGCAAAAAACGCATATTCAAAGGGAAAATGCATACTGCTATGATACATTTGTGACATGAATATGTTAAATTAATTTTTCTAACACACATTAAAGTAAGTACATAACCCCTACAATAAGAAAAGCCCAGCTATGTACCGCCAGCAGGTTGAGTGCCCCACGTGGGGAAACGGGGTCCTCAGTCTCAAAGGAACCAAAGCAAGGTCCCGCGTGGAGGAGCCGGACTCAAGCTTGGCACTGAGGCTGTCAGGGAAGGGGGCCCGAGGAGGCCTGGGGGCCCAGACGCCAGAGGCAAGGCCCCCCCTACCTTTGGTGTCTTCGTCCTCAATGGTGGTGTTGGTGCTTTCTGAAGATTCCTGCCAGAGAGAACAAGGAGCGGTGAAGCCGGCCTGGCTGGCAGGACGGGCGAGGCCAGTGGGGGGCTGCCCCGGCTGCCTGATGCTGCGGCCCAGCCTCTGTACACCTCACAGGCTCTGACATCCAGACGGTCCCCTGAAAACCCTGGCAGACCTCCGAGCCTAAGGAGGGGAAGGGCCCAGCTAAGCAGGAGGCTGGTGGTGGGGGCGTGGATGGAGGAATGGATGCAAGGAGATCCCTGGCCTTTCTGGAAGGGCTGGGAAGGGTCCCTGGGCCCTCTCTGCTTGAGGGAGCAAAGAGGGGGTGTAGAAGAGCAGAGAGGCACATGGTGGCCCCAGAATGGGGAAGGAATGCACACACTGGCAGAAAAGGAAGAGAGAGAGAGAGGGAGGCCCAGTGCGAGAGAGCTGGGCTCTTCAGGGGGGAAAAACCACACAGCGGAGGGAGACGGCAATGGAATCAGAAGAAGAGGGGTGTGGGCCGCCATGCCACAACATCTAGACAGAGGCAGGGGCTGGCAGCTCCTCTGCCACCGGCAGGCCCTGTGTGGCCTTGCTCAAGAAGGGCCTCTACGGAGCCCACTACTTTGGCCAAACCAAGTCCCTCCACCCCTTGCTGCAGCTGGCACAAACCAAGCCCTGAGATGAGCTCCAGAGCAGAGGGCAGGAGAAGCGAGAAGCCAAGGGCTGGATGGGGGATGGGGGTCGAATCAACCTTCACACCCAGCGGAGTTCTCAGGTCTACTGTCAGGCTGCTGGACTGGGCCGTGGAGTGGGAGGTGTCAACAGAAACACGCCAACAACACGCACACACAACGCACAGAGTGTCAAACGAGGCACACGTACCAAGCACGCCCTGAGCCCCCTCTCCCCGCCCGGGTTCCCAATGCAGCCTGCAGGAGGGAGGCAGGAGCGAGGGGTCGAGGCCCAGCATTTACCGGCGTTGGGGAGACGGCAGACACTCACCATTAACTGAACGCTGGAACTGGACTTTCTTTTCTGGAAAAACAAGGAGAAGAAATGGGACAGGAAAAGACACAGCGTGAAAACGGCAGGGAGCAGAGGAACAAACGACAGGGGAGGTTCGGAAGGAGGATGGGCCTCGGGGTCATCCTCTGCAGTCCCTTGCCGGAGTGGCATGGGGGCAAGGAGTCGGGTCACCTGGCGGGACCGGTCCTCTCTCAGCCTGAAGTTCTGGGGCCTTGTGCACAGCTGCCTGGGTCTCACAATCCAATCACTAAGCTCCAGGTCAAGCCTGCCTTGGACCCGGGCTCCCCCTACTCCAGGCTCTGATGGGGGAGTCACCCCTGGGTCTCGGCTGCTAGTCGCCTATGGCCTTCAGCATCCAAAGCTATTGCGGGACAAAAGGGCACTCGGTCTTGGGATGAAGACCCATCTCTCCTCTTAGACTCCCCATGCATCTCTGCTGAAAGGACCCCCAAGCGTCATAGTCACTTGGGAAACTTGTCAAAAACACACAGAACCAGGCCCCTTCGAGGAGGTTGGTAACTCAGACTGGGGTGGAACCTAGGGATCTCCCTTTTGTACAATCTCTCCAGGAGGTTCCAGAGCTGGGCCAGGTGTGGGAACCAATCTTCTAAGTGGCCTTGGCAATTCTGCTTGTGTTCCCAGCTTCCCAGAGACTGGCCTACTCAGCTCCTTTATGCTGAGAGAAAAACCGAGGCGCAGCCAGGCACACAGCAGAGCCCAGAATTTCAGCCCTCGTGCCCTACCATGCGGCCTCTTCTAGCTTTTGCCAGGTGTAGCTTTCCCTGTACTACTGGCTGTAGAACCGAGGGGAGGAAAGAGAGAGGACTGGTGCAGATGATCTTCTCCTTTCAGCTCTAAGCCAGGAGTCTTAAAGACTCCTCCTCACAGAAGCTTGCAGGTCAAGACTGACACTTGAATTGCACAGGTGAGAAACGGGCCCAGAGATGGGCCGCGATCTGCCCGCAGAGCAGAGGCCGGCGCCCCTCAGGGCTGCTCTCTCCTCTGCCCAGGCCTCAGGCCCCCACAGCCTGACCACTCTTCAAAGGCGTGTCCTTCCCAGATGCATTTACATCTGAGGCCGGGAGGCTGCTCCGCTTGCTGCACGGTGGGGAGAGAGGAGGAAGGACTGGAGATGCCCTTGCGGTAGGCCTGCCAGGGAGAGGCTCTGAATATCCTCTGAGGGTCCTCAGGTCTAATTCTGGGCTTTCTGACTCCAAGATCGCCGGGCATTTCCAGTGTAAATGCTCACAGCCCCTGCGTCTGCTCCAGCTGGGCCGGACAGGGCGACCTCCAAAGCCTGCGGCCTGCCGTCAGCCTCCCGTCTCCTCTCCTCCCTTCTCCCCCCCGGAGTCAGCCTCACTCCCGGGTGGAGCCAAGCCAGGCACCGTGTCTGTGGGAGGGGACAGGCCCTCTCACCTCAGCTGTCAGCAGAAACCTGAGAAGTGGCCCAGGGGCGCCAGGAGGTTCCAGGCAGGACACAAGGAGGCAACACAGAGCAGAGACTGCATCAGATTCGCACGTACAGTGACAGGATGGGACATGGGGGAGAGAAGTCACAACGGCACGGATGGGACACCAACGGGCAGTGAGTGGGGTTGAGGGGTGGGAGCAGTCGGCCCCTCCTCACAGCAGTCGAGGCCTTGGGGTGGTTGACAGGGGGCATCGCGTCTTGGTAATAGAGAGACTCAGTTTCCTGAGTCACAAATGATGACGATACTAATAATAACCCCACACCGACCAGCAAGTTGGAGTTTAATTTACACGGGCCTTTCACCAAAACTCGAGTCGCATCTCTTGGAACCACATGGAGAAAAGCATGGTTCTAAGGTTAGCAAGGATGGTAGAGAGGAAGTATGGTAAAAATTAGCCTCCTAAAGCCATTTAAAGCCCATGAAGTATTGTGTCATAGCTCTAACTCCAACGGGCCGGTTGTCCTCCAGTGCTGGGGCCAACCACTGCTTCTTCAAGTCCCAGAGGAAACCTCTGGTTTGTCTCGAGGATGATGTTGTAGGAAGAATCTGTATTTCCCCACTTGGGCTGAATGTGTGTCAGTTAAAGAAGCACACGATGACTCTACCAGGCCCTGGTAACAACTGCCATTCTCCCCTTGCACAGACGACAGAAGTGATGACTCAGGTCCCCAAAGGAAGGAACTGTGGGGCCCAGACGCAAACTCTTGGCTTCTTGACTCGAGACCCAGTTTCATTCACAGTGAGAATACCGCCGGACCCCCGGAGCGACGCATTGCAGGCAGGGCGCCCCGAAGCCTGGGCAAGGCCCCTGGGCGGCTCTCGTCTGCCAGCCGGACTCCCCTTCTCCACACCAGGGAAGACAAGGAGGCTGCAGAGATGGCCGGGCTTCTGTTCATCCGCGCCCAGGCCCCCCTGAGAAGTCACTCGCGGTCTGTCTTAGCTGCAGGAAGGAGGGGCACTTTCTTCAGCTGTGCCCCCCCGGAAAGCCCTGCAGTGACTAGCCAGAGCCTCACTGTGCCATGTCCTTGCCCTCAGACAGTCTCCGTCTCCTGGACTTGTTCGGAGAAGAGCCAGACCAGAGAGAGCTTTGTCCCAAGGCCCCGCCTGAGGGAGGCCCTGACCTCACACCGGGAGCTCTGAGTGAGCCTTTGCCAGGGCCCCACCCATGAGCCGAGCAGCCCGGGACAGCCCTCCTTCTGCCCCCTCCTCCTCCACTGACCGGCTCCTGTGGCCTCTGCCCCATGTCTCCCAAATACAGTTTTCCCCAGGGAACGCAGCACCCCAGCTGGAGCCAGAGAGCGCCCCAGGTGCTCCAAATGGGACCACCCAGTGTCGCATGATCCCCTCATTATCCTTTCAAATAGTGGGGTGGGGGATGACTCATGGGTAACCCAAAGTGGCAGGTGAGCCAGCAGTTAAGCCAAAACTCAATTCTGAATCCTGTTACAGGATTTGGGATGCATGCGTGTCAACTTTAGAAACTGAGTCGGCTTTAGATCTGTGGACTGCCAAATATTTTCTTGAGCAAACTTTGTTTTCAAGACAAATCTTAACCTGAAGTCCAATAGATAAAACAGAAAAGATAATGACACTGACCAGCACCTCAAGAGCACATGTCGCACGCCCTGCACCCTGCTAGGCCCTCAACACACATGATCTTGGAGCTTCCTCGCAAACAGCCCTGTGGGGTGGAAACCCCTTCTATCCTCATGGCTTGAACAAGGAAACGCAGGCTCCCGGGATGTAAATAATCAGTCAAGGTCTGAGGCTGCTGAACCCAGGCTCTCTTAACCACGTGCTGGTACTTGGAGCTGGTCTTGTTGAGGTGGGCACGGGGAGCCCAGAAACTTCTCTGCTAGCCCCCTGCTTCTAATCCCACCCCACCCCATCTGCTGCTGGAGGTGCCTCCCCAGAACCTTTGGGCTCCAAGGAATTCAGTTTGAAAACCGCGGACGTTGGCTGATAACCAAATAATTATGTATTCCTCAAGCACCCAAGATGAGAAGGGAGCGTGATTAGATAGGGTTTTGTTGTCTTTTTTTTCTTTTATTTTTTTCCCCTTGTATGTTTTTAAAGCTAAAATCCTGGAAATCCTGGTGTTCACACTCCTCCCGCCCCGCCCGTTGTACCTACAGGGAAACTCAAGGCCGCCGAGGGGAGACCCCCGACCCCAGCCTCCAACAGCCAGCCCAGATCCCCTCCCACGTAACCTTGGCCAACCAAAGCCAGCGGCCTGGGACTGTAAATGCCACAACAAATGAAGACATGAGGCCACGAACCCACCTGGGTGACTGTGTTTGGACAGCGTCCCACACCTTCCAGTGTCCTGGACACAGCCTGGCCCTCAGGCCCTGGCCAGGCAGGGTTCTGAGCCCAGAGAAAGGCAGGGTCTCAAGAGAGGAGAACCCACAAGGCGAGCCAGTGGCAGGGAGAAGGGGGCTGCAGAGAATGGGCACCAGACCCAGAGAGCAGAGGGAAAAGAGAGAGGAGGGGAGGAGAGGGGGAGGGGTCATGGAGTGTGTAGGGAAGTAGCTCGGGCATCGGGTGTGGGGTGGGCAGAGGGCAGGCCTACGTCAGGGGAGGAGGGCATGTTGGCACCAAACCAGCAGGCCTTGATGGAGAGGGGCTACCTCTGGACTCCAAAGCGGAGAGGAATGGCTGGTTGTCCTCCATAGGCTTTGTGGGCTGGACTGGGGTGTACTTGGGGCAGGGGCCCATTCCAGCCAGCCCACACTCGGGAAAGGGAAGGTCACCCCTCATAATCACCTCTGTCCCTTCCTTGTACCCTCTTGCTCACCAGTCCTCCAACCCCAGAGCACCCCAAAAACCCCCTTCAGACCTGCGCCTTTCCTGGTGCCTGCTCCAACCCGAGGCCACCCGCCTCTCCCACATGCTTTCCATCCTCCCTCTGCCCCGCCTGCCCCTTCCAATCCTTGTGAGAGGGTGGGCACCAAAGCCCAGGTCCATGGGTCTGGGGATGGCCCGGCTGCAGGAGAGATCACACCAGCCCGGAACACTGGTGGCACGGCCTGGGTCTTACCCCAGCCCTGAAGGCTGGGCCCTCTTGCCAGAAACGCTGGCAGAGCCGGCCCTGGCAGGCTCCCAGGGGGCTTACCTTCACACCATCATTCTTCTTGTTTCCTCCACTCTTCCCTCCTATGGAGGAGAGAAAGTAGAGGGTCACCAACACCAGGCAGGGCACCAGGGCCCATAGGGCAAGGAAGAGCAGCATCCACGGGCAGCCAGAGGGCAGGAGCCGGTTTGGCGATCTGGGGAGACCTCCTCCTCCTGCTTCTCCTCCCTCCTCCGGAGCCCGGGACTGCCAGGGGCCCGCTAAGTGGGCCTGGGCTCCCCCAGTCCTCAGGGATCTCAGGTGTGACCCCCCGGCCCCATGGGTTGAGGTTGAGGAAGGCGTCCAGTGCGTCCCAGGACCGTGGGTTTACTGTTTCAGCCCGGGGATTCCCTCTGGATCACGGTCACCACCCGTGCTGGTGGTGGCCAACCCGGAGGCCCAGCTGCCCGGCCCAGGGCTGGACACTCCCTCCCCAACCCGGCCGGCTCTAATTTTAGCCCCATGCTGCTGCAGAGGTCATGTGTCAGCCCTGCCTACTCACTCTGGACAGCTGCAAGCTGTGTTTTGCCAGTGACAAGAAGCAGATGCCCCCTTCTGGGGCCCACCCCTGCCAGAGCACCCGTCCTGGCCGTGGCTTCCCCACCCTCAAACTCCAGAGTTCCGGGCTGGGGTTGGCTCTGTCCCTGGTAGCCAGGTAAAGCAGAGCAACAGATCTCAGGGAGGCCCCACCTCTGTTGTTCCCCCTCCCCTCCCCCCTTCCCTCCTGGCCAGAGCCCATGGGGAGGGAGGGCGTCAGCCAGGAAGAGGCATGGGTGCCCAGCTCTGCCCACCTTGGCATCTGGCTGCTCAAACCTCAGACAAATGCTGTAAGTTAAATGCATAGGGTATCTATAAAGTGCTTACTTAGCACTGCACTTGACCTCATGCCGTAGGTGCTCAGTAAATGGGAGCCACTTGTCCTTCTCTTGGTGGCCTGGAGAGGGTGAGCCAGAGATGGGGGCAGGGGGTGGTACAGGACATTGTAGCCCCAGGGGCTTTGAAGGATGAGGTTTACAGTCTGTCTGTCCAGCTTCCCAGGCAGCCTCACATTTCCAATGACCCCTACCAGGCTCTCCTTCAAAGTCTCCCTCTTGTAAAGCAGGTGTGAGGGTGGGCACCTCTGGATCCAAAGCCGAAAGGAATGGCTGTGCCCCCTCCACAGGCTCTGTGGGCTGGACCAGGCTGCACAGTGAGGTGGCGGGGCTGCTTGCCCCTCCAGCCTCAAGGGTGGCCCTCTTGTCTCCAGCCCACTGCTGCAAGACGGTGGGGGCCTGCGAGGCCACATATTCTGATTTTCAGGAGAAAACAAGAGATCTGGGCTTTGCCATGAAATCTCCTGATGTTTAAGTGCTGGAAACTTTTTCCAAAAAAATATTTTCAAACACCACTGGCCCCCGCCTAAGCGCATCTAGAGACTGGACCTAACCCACGGGCGCCATTTTGTAAGTTCGGGATTAGCGTTCTCCAGGGGCACTGCAGTTGTTAAAAAAAGACTCTGACTGTCTGGGTGGCTCGGGTTTCACTTTAAGGAGCTGCAGGATCCTTGTCTGGGGAGAGAATGGGAAGGCAGTTCAGGTGGTGGCCACAGCCCAGATCTGAAGTCCCAGGGTCTTCCCATCCCGGGTCTCGTTCTTCCAGCTGGTGAAACAGGCAGGTGGACCCTCTCCACAAAGCCCGGGCGGTAGCTGCCCAGAGCCGAGCCCTTGCCGCGGGGCTGGCCACGTGACCACAGCAGCCCTCGCAGGTCCAGCCGCAGGCAGAGGGCCCCTCGGGTGAGCTTTGCCATATCTGCTCAGCTGCCCCGTCAGCCTCCGGGCTCCCCAGAGAGAAGCCTCAGGCAGTGCTGGCCCCGGAACTCTCCGGTGTGCCAGGGGGAGCTTCTTGCTAAACCCTGACACTAATCTCTTCCCCTTCTCTCTTCAGGGCCACATGCCGCAGGTCATTGGGCACTCCCCACCCTAACCAGCCTGGCCTTGGCCGAGGCCGCAGGCTCCTACCCTGGGCTCTCTGGTGATTCACCCTGGCCGCAGGCACCCGCACCGGGGCTGCTCGAACCTGCGCTGAGAGCAGGCTCTGCCTCCCCCTCGCGATGCGACCTGAGGCCCACCACAGTCGCCTCCCGGAGCACAGTTTCCTCCTTCAGAAAACAGGCCTGGCAACGGCCCCCCACTGCCTTGTCAAGCAGGCCACCTGGGCGGAAGCGTGGGCTCCAGTAACGATGGGGAACGGGAGCACTGCCACTCCCTGAGCCTGGCTCAGTCCCACCTGGACCTGTACCCCAACATTTGAGCGGCCTTCCCCTCTGGCTGGCCGAGCCTGAGAGCCCCAGCGCGGCTGTGGGGGGAGACAGACTAAACCTCTGAGCCTTCCCGGGGGGCCCTTAGCTTGCTGACCTTTGGTCTTTCTCCATTTCTGGGTGCAGGTTTTGTATCAGGTGAGCTAAACCCCTCGTCAAGGGGTCCTCTGAAGCCCCCACTCTCCCCAGGCCCCCCGGCCTGAGGGCAAGTATCCAACTTGGCAATGTCCCTACCTCCTGCAGGATGTATGTGGGCCTTTGAGGTCTTACCACCTACCAGAGAAGTTCCGGGTGGCCAGCATCGTGGTGAGGATAGCCCCCTGCAGCAGGTAGGAGGAGAGGGCGTGGAGGGGAGAGAAGAAGCCGGAGGTGAGCGGGGAAAGGAGAGACAGAGAAATGGGTGGTGAGGGGGGAAGTAGAGGAAGGTGCTCCATTCAGACACAAAGCCAAAGCCTTCTGCCCCTCCATGGGGCAGGGACCGAGGGACCAACCCACAGCCCAGGGACCAACCCCCACCTCCCTGGAGAAATCAGGGGAGCTCCACCTTAGCTGGCACCACGCCAGAGACAGGGCCATCCTAGGGGCAGATATTAATAGGTTCTAGCGGCCTGGCCAGAGCTGGCGGTGGACAGGCTCGGGACACCTGTCAGTGGGGGCTGCTAAAGACCAAGGGAGTTTCCTGCCTAGGAAAGGACAGTGGACCCTGTACCCTGGGCCCCGCCCCCGTCCACCCGCTGCCCGGAGCACTCAGCACCTCACTCTAGTACTAGTACATCCCTCCGTCGTCCCTGGGCCTGGAACCCTGGAAGCTTAATGTGGAAAAACCCTCTTCTGTCAGCGAAGGGGCCGGGGACAATGGCCCTTCTGTTTCTGACACTGTTTGATTTGGACCCTCTCTGAGTCCAACAGTCCACGATTTTAAGAATCCCTGATTCTGACATTTTGAGACTTCCAGGACTGCTCCCGCTAGGGGCTGATGACAATTTTCCTGGCATCACATTGGCTGCCACCCCCTTGGCCCGTGTCCCCGTCCTGTGCCACCATGCTAGGCTTGGGAGCAGCTGGCGAGAAGCTTCCCCATGAGCTGGGGCCTCAGTGCCTGTCACTCAGCATGCTCACGGCGTCTCTGCTCCAGCCAGCTGGGGACCCCTCGGTCACTTTTCCTACCTGCTCACAGGGTCGCTGGCAAGGTCTAGGCCAGGAGTTGTCCTGGCCCTGAGAACACACAGGGCCTACGTAGAGGCTGGCGGCTCAGGTCTCACCTGGGTCCCGCTATACCTTCCCTGGGGTCACGACCCCTACCCGAGTCTCTTGGCCATTCCTCTCCCACGTTTGGCAGCTGGTGCCTCACCCTATCATGGCATCCTGCCCTGTCACATGTCCCCTCAAAATCCTCTCCCCTGCCTTGCTGAAACTCAGCAATTTTCCTAAGGGATCCAGCTCACACTCCCAAACTCCTAATTTAGGCTTCTCTGTGTCTGGAACATCTGCCCACTCTGACTCTGCGCTGCTCGCACTTGCTTATCCTTTGGGGTCTCAGCTTAAATGCTACTGGCCCAGGGAGGCTTCCAGAGTCCTTCCCTGGGCCTTCTAGACCTGGTTCATGGCCCTGACATATATACCCACAGCCTCGGGGTTTGCACTCACCGCTGCCTCATAATGTCCCAGTTACGTGTCTGTCTTCTCCACTGCTCACTGCCCCACCCGGAGAACGAGCGTTCAATAAATCAGTGAAGGACACGCCTGGTGAGGGGGGTCTCCAGGCCGCTGTGGAGACCCAGGCCAGGCTACTCCCACATCTGGGGACACGGAGGGTGAGGACCTGTTACCTTGAGTTTTCTCCTGGCGTTGAACTTCTTCAGGCAGTCCACGGTCTCCTGTCTGTGCATGCAGGAGGCCACGGTGGACCGGTGCTGGAGGAGGCGGGGAAAAGGTCTGTGAGCGGAAGGCAGGCCTCCCCCAGGGCCCCGCAGCAGGGTGTCTTATGGGCGTGGTTGGCATCTTGGGGGGATAAGTCTTTGTTCCAGGGATGTACTAAACATCACGGCTGCTTGGCATTCCGGGCACCAGACGGTCAATGCCAGTAGCACCCCAGTCCTGATGCCAACCTCCCACTTCTACTTTCCCCCTGAGAACCACAACGCGGTCAGTGTCTCTGGGATTAAACCTCCTCAGGCCGCAGCGGGGCCTGAGAATCGAGGAACAGGACTCCATGAAGGACTTAACCGTGAGGCCTGGGGGCGCTCCTGGGAAGGGTCTTGCTGAGGGAGGCTCACCGAGATCCAGGGGTGCTTGAGGGCCTCAGCGGCCGTGATGCGTTTGGACGGGTTGATGGTCAGCATCTTATTGATCAGATCCTTGGCTTCTGGGGTGACGGTGTCCCACTCTGGTGATGGGAACTGAAAGGGGCAGAGGGGCCAGGTTTGCCCAGCCTACCCCAGGCCACCCCTGCGATCCCCCAGCCCCTGACTGGCAGGGGAGCAGGCAGGGGTCCTACTGCCCTTCCACTCGGGCGTTCACAACCAGGAGGAGTTGGGACAGGGTCTCCTGACCCCAGGACAAATCAGAACAACGGCCAGAGGGAAGAAGGCCTCTCTCTGCTATTCTGAGGCTGTGCCTTATCTGGAGAGCAAGCAGGCCTGTGGTTATGGCCCAGGCTTTGGGACCACAAGGCTGGGTTCAAGTCTGCTTCCTGGGCTGTGTGACCTTGGGGGAGTCACATGACCCCTCAAGCTATCCCCAGAGGTATTGTGAACGTTGAATATGGTATAAAACATCGGGCACATAGCTTGATAGAAACCAGCCATGCAGAAAAGCAATGGAGCTTGGGAGTTAGAATCATAAACACTAGAGTTAAACTGCCTGAGTTCAAATCCCAGCTCTACCATTTCTTGGCTATGTGATATGGGCAGTTATTTAATCTCTCTGAGCTTCAACTGTAAAATGAGGACAATAATCGTACTTATGTCATAGATTGGTGTGAAGATTAACTGTAACAATAACAGAAATTGTTTAGAAGAGTGCTCTGTGAATATGAGCTAATGTCATTTGTATGTATGTGGACAGATAGATATCGAGAGAGAGAGAGAGAACCTGGCTCCTGGGACCTGCTCCCTCTACCTCTCTCCCCACCCTGCTGCTGCTTCTGCCCTCTGGGGCTTCATGGGCTAAACCCCATCACTTAGGGGCCCCGATCATTAGGCACAGCCAGCTCACCACTTGGCCTCAGTCAGTCCTCAAGCTCCACCTGCCCTTCAGCCCCTGCCCCACAACCAGAATGGCAAGGAGACCTACATGGGCTGGGAGGGCGAGAGAGGGGTATCCTTGGGCCCTGACCTCACTGGGCACTGGCTTTCACTGGAAGGGGCCCCAGGGATGGCAAGGAGGCTGGAGAGAGGAGGGACACTCACATCATAGGCGCCGGCTTTGATCTGCTGATACAAGCGGTGCTGGTCCTCATCCCAGAACGGGGGATACCCAACTAGCAGGATGTACAGGATGACCCCTGGGGAGAGCGCCAAGGGGAACTTCAACCCCTTGTGAGCAGGAGCAGTGGGGGAGGGGAGGGATGCGAAAGAGGAGAGAGGGCGTCAGAGGTGCAGGTGGCAGGAGGATCGAGGGCCTTTGGAAGGACTCACCGCAGGCCCACAGGTCCACAGGCTTCCCGTACGGGTCCTTCCGCAGCACTTCCGGGGAGAGGTATCCAGGGGTCCCTGCGAATCCTGCTCGCCAGACACACAGGCAGGCAGACACACACACAGAGGGTAGCACATTAGTAAACCAGAGCAAGAGCCCGCTGGGAGGGGGCAAGGTTTGCCCTGGAGATGGCAAAAACACCCCCAGCCCTGGCTCCTGAGCCTCTAGACCAGGGTAGATGAGAACATGGGACACTTGTCACCACCCCCGCTCCTGAGCCTATGGCAGAAGTCATCGATCAATCCCAGAGCCCTTCCCATAGGGTCCTGACTCAGCACCATAACCTTCTAGCACGATCCTCCCAGCAGTCACTACCAATCAATTGCTGGTGGTACTCAAGATGAAATGTCCTGGCCATGGGAGCCCCCAGCTGAGCGGAACCCTTGCCCACTTCCCACACCTTCTGAGAGCGGGTCCTGGGATGGCAGGAGGCCCGTCCCTCACTCTGGCTATGCCTTAAGTCCCTTGGGTAGGTCTCTTTTCCTTCTAGGCCTCAGTTTCCTCATCTGTCAAATGAGGGATTAAGGGTTCTTATTTTAAATACCTCCCAGCATTGTTGGGAGGATCACTTGAAATAACGAACACCCCCAATATTTTAACAAGTAATCGTATGAATAGTTCCTATTTATTGAGTGTGCGTAGGAAGCAGGGCTGGGCTCTTTCTATGCCTGATCTCATTTAACCCTCATACAGCTCTGCAGAACATCCTATTATTGTCCCCATGAAAAAACAGGCTAGGAGAGGTGAAATGAGACCCAGGCACACACCTCATACGCAGCAGAGGTGGGATTTGAACCCAGAAATCTGGCCCTTAACCACTGATCAATATTGCCCACAAAAAGTATCCCCAGGTGGCCAAAAAGACTCACTTATGCCAAAATCTCAGGGCCTGCTGGGTCATCTGAGCTTAAAACCAGGCTCCACCCCTTCTAATCTCCCTTAACCCTTTCCGGGTTTCTTAGCCTCTGTTCCTCACCCGCAAAGTCAGGATAATAACCTCTAGCACTTAGGACGTTAGGGAAACCCACAGAAGCCTCTAGACAACAGTGAAGGAATATATGCATGTGAAGAAGCTAGGTGCTGTTTGAATAATAACCGTGTTCCTGCACCTGACCCCCGGGGAGTAGGGCAACACCCACTGACCCAGAGGCTGGGTGGGGAGGGGCCTCTAACTCTGCTACCTGAGCCTTGGCTGGTGCAAAGCCATCTCCAACCTACCCCTGTTCAAGCAGAGGGTTCCTAGAGGCCAACGTGTCAACACAAGGCTGGCCCCCAACACCCCCGCCACCCCCAGCCCCCACTCACCGAACCATGCCTGCTGCTCCCCCTCCACCTCTATGGCCAGGCCAAAGTCCGCCAGCTTCACCGCGGCGCCCTTGAGCTTGGAGGCCAGCAGCAGATTCTCCGGCTTCCCAGGACCAGAGAAAGAGAAGAGGGGAGAGGTGGGAGGAAAGGGCCAGAGGACAGTGAGCAGATTCAGAACCTCAACTCCAGGGGCCTGGATAACGCGGAGGCGCCCCGCCCCCACCTCGAGCTCCCACCCCAGACCCTGGGCTTCGTCTCCAGAGAGAGGACTACCCCACTGCCAGTCCTCTGTCTTCTGCAACAGGAATACCTTTCCTTCACCAACCACTCCCTCCTCCCCCTCCTCTCAGGGTCTGGAGCTGGGGCTGAGGTGAGGGTGGGAGATAGGGTTGGGCAGAAAGCCACCACCACAATAAGAGAAAGAAGCGACGCCTACTGTGCCCCTACTATGTGCCAGCCACTAGGCTAAGGGTTTTGAATACATCACCTCATTTTATCAGCTCAACAGCCTTTGGAGTAGACATCATTATCCCCATTCTCTATAGTGGCCTTCTTATATTCTCTGAAACAGTCACGCTCGCTTCCACCTCAGGGCCTTTGCACTTCCTGTTCCTCCTGCCTAATTTGTTTCCCTCTGAGCTTCACAGGGCTAGCTCCTTCTCTTCACATGACTCTCACCTTCATGCTGCCCCCTCCAAGAAGCCCTCTGTAACTAATCTATCTAAAGGAGGAGCCCCCAGGTATCATCTGTTTTAGCTCCTTATCATTATCTTCACAGACCTTCTTAGGATTTGTAATGTTTTCTCCACCTGCCTATGTGCTTGTTCATTATCTGTCACCCTGTAGTATGTGAGTTTCTAAAGTGTCCCGTCTATCACTGTATCACCAGCACCCATGACAGTGGCCCGCATGTATCAGACACTTTTTTTGGTCAGTATTTGTCATATGTAGAAAGAGAAGTCAGAGAGGTTAAGTGACTTGACAAAGATCACAGAGTTGGCAAGAGATAGACCCAGAATGGAAGCATAGCCTGGCTCTGCAGCCATGCTCTTGCCCACTGCAAGGTGAGAGACAGGGATGGGGCAGGGGGTTGTGGGGCCTCAGACATACCACCTGGCCCCTGGGATGTTGAGGCTGCTGGCTCTTAAGGACAAGAAATCACCCTAGTCAGGACAGAGAGGAGTTAAGGGTGTGGACTCTCCGGTCAGAGAGCCTCAGCTTCCAAATCCAGCTGTGATATTTGGATCAATTATCTCAATTCTCTAAGTTCTAGTTTCCTCCCAGAAAAATGGGGATAATGCCTACATCATAGGCTGGCAGACGGATTAACTTCAATGATCCAGTACTTCACAGCAGCCAACAGCAAGTGCTTGATAAACACAGCACTCTATTTTCTCCTTGGGGAGGGGCTGGAGCTCCAAGTCTCTGGAGACGGCTGACTTCCTCAGACTCCCATCCCCACTGGAATTTCCAAGGGGTTCTCGCATCTGACCTTTCACTGCCCAGAGCTAGACAGGCCACAAAAAAATACAGCGCGGTAAGGCCCCTTTTGTCCTCTGGGGACTGTGTTCTCAGCGTGTCCTGGGTCTTGGTAACCGTCCTGCCCTGATTTGATGTATGTGCCACTAATTATTCCACCCATGGTGGCCTAAATTTGTGCTACCTCTCCTCCACCCTCCTCCCAAGCAGGGGCTGTAGCTATAATGGGAACAGGCCTTTTGGGAGAGCCACCCTGCAGTCTGGCCAGAGACCTTCTTGCCTGTGAGTCTAGGCTGAGCCACAGGGAGCTCACCTGTGTTCAGGTGAGGAGCCATGGACTACTCATGACAATCAGAGGTGGGCAGGGGTTCCGCACAGAGCATTTCACCCTAAAGAAGAATCTGGAATGACTGGAGGGAGCCCAAGGAGGGTGCCCAGGGTAGAAGGGCCTTGAAGTCCTATCCTGGGTGGGAATGAGGGCAGTCTACGGGTGACTCGGGAGCTACTGCAAAGCCACCCAGATGCCTTCAGGGCTGCTCTGAGCTGGAGACTTGATCTCTGAGGCCCCCATGGGTAGCACTGGGGTTCATGGGGAAAACCCCCATAGCAGGAAAGAACGAAGGAACATTTCCCAATGGTGCAGGGGCCTATCCTGTAAGAAGTGAGTTCATAGTCACAGAAGACCAAAAAGCAGAGGTTTGATGGATACTCAACAAGGTCACCTAGAAGGGGCTACTGCAGAAGCAGGAGCTGGATCGGCTGGGGGGTTTTTTTGGGCCACAGACCACCCAGGGCCTGGGATCTGAGGTCAGAGGCCAGGGCTCCAATCTTAGCTCAGGCACAACGGAACTGCATGTTCTCAGGCAAATCCCTGGGACTCTTTAGGCCTACTTTCCTGCTCTGCAAAAACGGAGAGATGTTATGAGCTGCCGGCTGCTGAGGCCACGTGACCCAGCAGAGGGGAGCTATGAAGCCTGTGCTGACCAGGCAAGGCTGCGCGGCTGATGCAGACGCTAGACTCCCGGCTGCTTGTCTTGTTCACCTCCTTTCTCAGATGGCAAGAGAGAGGACTCCGAGGGCGACAGGCCTGTTTGTATTTCCCCCCCTGCCTTCCACCTGCCAGAGGCCCAGAAACAAGAGTAACAATGCCTCTGTGGACCAGGCACTGTGCTGTCTCCTTTGACATCCTCGCCAACCTGGGCAGAGGTTGCTATAGCAACCCCTGCGATAAAGAAGCTGACACTGGGAAGCTAGGAAGTGGCCCTGCTGGGATCTGGACCTGGCCATAGCCAGTCTTGGCATTCTAACTGCATCTCACCTGGCTTGGCTGGGAGTCGGGAGGAGTCGGGAGGCCTGGGTCCCAAGCCCAGATACTTGACCTCCCTCAGCCTGGTTTCCTTGCCTGACACTTTAAGTTAATGCCAGTGGCTCTGCAGGTGAAGGAAAGGGCAGGGGGCAGAGGAGCAGGCTCCCTGGTGCGCTGCACCCCGGGGCTGGTCGCTCACCTTCAGGTCCCGGTGCACCACCCCCATCTGGTGGCAGTGCAGCACGGCCTCCAGGATCTGCTGGATACAGTGACTGGGGAGAGAAAGGCAGGGGTCACGGTGGGAAGCCGGGCCTCCCCCGGGAAGCTGGCAGGTGAGACGCCCTGTCTCCCGGCGCTATCGCCAGGCCACACCCGGAACTCACCTGGCATCAGCCTCACTGTAATACTCCCGGGCCACGATGTCCTCAAACAGCTCCCCACCAGTGACCCTGGGGAGACAGGCACGGCGTCACCCTCCCACTGAGGCCACAGGTGCCGCCTCTTGGGCGAGTCTCCAGGAAGCTACGGGCAGGGCCTGGGGACCTCAGAACCTCAGCCCCAAAGGCAGGAGCCCTGGGGGTCATAGTGCTACAACCTCCTTCCTGGCTTCCAACCCACCCTTTCACTAACTGCTCTCCCTCTGGGCCCACTGGGCTGGAGTTACCCCAGTACACACCACTAGGATTCATTAGGTCCCTAGAAGCCCAAGGACTAGGTCTTGTAGGTCTTGTTTTTGTGTTTTAATAGACTTTTTAAAGACTTATTTCTCTTCAGAGAGAGGAGAAGGGAGGGAGAGAGAGAAACATCAATGCGTGGTTGCCTCTCACACGTATGCCCTACTGGGGACCTGGCCCGCAACCCAGCCATGTGCCCTGACTGGGAATCGAACCAGCAACCCTTTGGTTCACAGGCTGGCGCTCTATCCACTGAGCCGCACCGGCCAGGGCAATAGACTTTATTTTTAGAGTAGACTTAGGCTCACAGCAAAATTGAGCAGAAGGCACAGAGATCCCCACATGCTACTGTCCCTGCCACAGGCATAGCCGCCCCGATTATCAGTGCTTGGGTAGCAGACCTATCACATCTGGGGAACTCTATCAGAAGAGGGAGTTCAGCCCAGTCTGGAGGCATTTAGGACCACCACCACCCCTGCCCCTCTACCCTCCCATCCCCTGGCCAAGGGACTCAGAGAGGTTGTCCCTGCTCAGGCTGCCCTGATATGCATTGTACATCCCAGGGTGGGCCCAAACTCACAGATCAAAGATCAAGTAATGGTGTCCTTCCTCGGAGATGCTGTCATGGAGCCGGACTGTGGGAGGAGCCAAGGCAGCCAGTTACAGGAGAACACACTGTTCCCCACCCCAGCTCTCCCTCCCTCCCTCCCATTGTCCAATAGCCAACATTGCGATTTTTCCGACAGTCACTGAGCACAAGCTAGGTTCAGGGTGCTTGGACAAATTCAGGTGGACAGGAGCTCTCTGGCTTTGGGCACCGCCAAAAGAGGCCCAGGCTTAAAGACAACGGACCGTTTGTTTGGCCAAAGTTCTATTCGTCCCCACCCCCACCCCTCAGTTTCCTTTCTGGACAAACAAGCTGCATCGAATGAGTCTGTGGCTCAAATCTCTGCCACTTGCTAGCTGTGTGACTTCGGGCAGGTCGCTACACGTTCCTGAGCCTCTCTTTCCTTGCCTGGACAGTAAGAATGAGGTTCTCAGACTTGGAGTACATAGTTGGTGGTCACTCAGTGCTGGCCTTGAGCAAACATCCCTGATCTGTGTCCAGGTCCGAGCAGATAACAGAGCCCGTGGAGGTGGCAATGACAGCAGTCCCCGAGCTCTGGCATGCTCAGAAACTGTCATCCCTTCATATCTCATTAACCAAGAACAGAGCAAGGCTCCCAGGAGCCCAGAGCTCCCAAAATTATCCCCTGAGCTTCTGAAAGGAAGGGCCTGAAGCCTGGGCTCACTCCGGGGCCTGCACCCTGCCAGCCCCGGGCAAGCTCTCCCTGGACAGGTTCATGTCCTCACCTGCACCGCAACCTAAAAATGTCCCCAGAGGGGGCGCGGGCCTGGAGGATTATGATGCATCGCATGACGGAAAATTACACAGCTGTGAAGATCATGAGGCAGTTATGTATTCACTGGTTCAGAATCATCTCTCAATTATGTTGTTTGGCGAAAAGCAAAATGCAAAACAGTGTGCATAGTCTTTTTCTTTAGAGATGCATTTAAGCTTGTATATGTCATAAGTCTCTCTGGAAGGATACAGCGCTGTGGGCATTGGGGGTGCCCTGGGGGAGGGGTCATGGATAGGTGAGGCTTTTCACTGTCCTAACGCCGTTGGAATCCTTGCCACGCGCAGGTGTTTCTGACTTAATACTGAGCCCCCTAAATTCCTATGGCTCTCACATCTACACATAAAGTTTGAAGAAACAGGCATCAAATACCCCAGACTGGGTGCCTACCACAGGGGAGGGGGAGGGGGGAACCAGAGGTGGAGGAGAAAGAGAGGGACACGAATTTAAATTTTAAAAATTTTAAATTCTCAAATGATGATACATGTTTATAAATAGTGACTGAAATATGTTTAAAATCTATTTTAAAGCAAAGCTGAAAAACAGGCTGTCTAAGAGTACATATAATAATATTTATAATCCTGCTTTGATTTTTTTTGCTTTGATTTTTTTAATCAACATTTTATTATAAAAAATGTCAAACATACGATCAAGTGAACACCCATGTGCTCACCACCTGGGTTTGTTTCTATCATTAATGTTTTCTCATAGTTGCCTTATTACATTTCTATTCATCCCTCCACCTATTCACTGATTTTAATTTTTGAATGCATTTCAAAGCAAATGCGGGCCTAGTTTTTAAAGGGTGTGTGTGTATTGAACAGAGCACCCTGTGTCTTTTGTGTCACACTGTAGCAAACACATCAGGGCCCTACGCAGACCCCCTTAGCACAGCTCCTGGGAGGGTGGGCTGCTCAGGGCTCACAGTTGCCCTTCTTTTTCTGGAGAATTGCACCCTGCGGACACCTTGCCCACCAGGTTACAGCAGCCTTCAGCCAACGACGGAGGAATGGGGCGGGGCAAGGCTGCTGCAAGGCCCAGCCTCTTTGCCTTAAGGAGGGACAACTCCAAGATGGGACTTACCCTGCAGAGGACTCCCCACTGCTCCCTGCTTCCCCCACCCCCGTCCCTTACAGGTCCTCGCTGGGAGCCCAAGCACCCAAATCCCTACCCTGGGCTTTGCTTCTAGGAAACCTGACCTGAGAAAAGACGTGCAGGTGTACGTGAGAGGGTATCACATTAATTATCATATGGAAGCACAGTCATACAATGTTAGCCCTGGATGCTGAGGTTATCGGAGATACTTGAAAAACTATTTGTCTTTTCATTTATGCACTATAAACTTGCATTGCTAGTGTTTCACGGTCAGATTTTGAAAAAGACCCTTTCCTCTCTTTGTCTTCTTCTAGGCGGACCCTTGGCGATAGGCTCCTTCCTGTCTGCTCTGCTCCAGTGGCCATGAGAGGTTTGAACTTCCCTTTCCTGAGCCTGGGAAGCTCTAAGAAGCCAAGCTGTGGCCAGGACCATCTCAGAAAGGGCTCTTAGGGCTGGCCAACAGCCATTGGAGGGAACTGGGATCCCAGGTCCACCCTCTGACCAGGAGCCTCGGCCCCTGGAGAGCAGGTCCTCAGGGTTCAGGGAGATGGACAGAATTGAAATGGGGGTGGGGGGTTCTCTAGAGCTGACTTTAGCTCAGACGGTACCTTCGCGCTGATTGTAAAAGGCTGCTCCTCCATGGGAGGATATTGGAATCCGTTTCAGCCCCCAAGAGGTGGCTGACTCACCGCTCGGAGCCCAGAAGACAGGGCCTCTTCTTTTGCTGCTGTTTTCACAGACAAAACCTGCCCTCCAGGCAGCACAGCCCAGGAGGAAAGGCAGGATCCCAGGGCCATGGACTATGCAACAGTCCTGCCCCTCCCCACCTCCTGCCCGATGCAGGCGTTGGCACGTCTGTGACCATTGGATTATACAGTTACTTATTTGACTTTTTCAAATGTTGTCATAGAACAAAAATTCTGTAATCTAGTTTTCACTTATGTAGCTGAACTCACAAATTTCTGACATTCGTGCCCACATTTCTAACAGTTTTTTTTCTTAAAAGTTGAAGGGCAATGCTTGCTCCCCTAACCGCATGTGCCCCCGAAAGCACAGCCCTGACCGCTTGGGAAGCTCACAGAATGGCTGAGAATGGGCTCTGGAGTCAGACGTGTGCATTCACCTCCCAGCAAACACCTCGAACAAGCTCTGTGACTTTGGGCAAATTCTGCACCCTCTCTGAGCCTCCTCCCCTAACAGCAGGGGCGGGTCGCTACAGCCGTGTGTGCAAAGCACCCAACGCAGTGCCTGGCACCTGGAAAACCCGAATAAATGCAAACACTCATCTTCATCATCAACCGACCTCTCTTCCCTTCCCCACCCCAGATCATCTGGCTAAACTCTCAGGTTGTCCCCTGCTCCCTGGGGTGGCCTTTCAGGACCTGCCCCATCAGCAGGTGGCAATGGGATCTGTTAGCCCCAGAGCCCGTAACTTACTGCTCCCCATTATAGCCGGGAATGAGAGGGAGAAGGGGTGCAAATGGGAGGAGGGGTCATTGACCCGAAACAGCTGCAACTGTGCAGCGCGACACACACACACTTACACACACTCACACACGCCTCCTTCCTCCGGAGCCGACAGCCTTTATAAGAACCATGGGAATTTGTAGTCAGACATCACTCACAACCTCTTTCATCATATAGCTGGGGCGCTGGAGGCTGGGAGGGGGCCACACAGGGAGGCCAGAAGCAGATCAGGGACCAGGGTCCAACCAGAGCTCCTCCCCGCCAGCCGCCAGCCGCCCCTTCAGATTCTGGTGAGTCTAGCAAGGCTGGAGCAGCCCCGCTCCCCTTCCCAAGCACAAGGAAGGGGAGGTGCCTTCTGGGTATAAATAGCTGATGGAGATGCTTCTCTCCCGCAGGAGGGTTAACCCTTGGGGCTCTGGGCCCAGAGAGATGCTTCCTAGGAGAGAGAAGGCGTGGTAGCTGTCAAGAGTTGGAACGTTCCTTAGAGGGCACCTAGACCTTGCTCCTCAAAGTACGGCCTGCGCACCAGCAGCCTCAGAGCATGATAAAAATGTAAAACCTTGGGCTCCACCCAGATCCCAGACCTGCTGAACCAGAATCTACCTGTTAACAAGATGCCCAGGTGATTCACACAGTCCTCTCCTTGTGAAGATGGAGGGAAGTGGCTCAGAGAGTGCAGTGCCCCTACCCAAGGTCACACAGCCATTTCCTGACAGAACTATATCTAGATTCTGTACTTCTTCCCCTTGTGACTCAGAACCCTGATAGGCAGGGACACAGCCCCCACCCCACCCCCCAATGGTGCAAGGGTGGGGGAGGGCAGCCTCTCCACACAGCCTGCACCCAGTCTATGCCTGGGGCAGGGCCACCTTGCAGCTCACCCCTAAGGAGCAGGCCAGCCACAAGTCTAGGCAGGTGGGCACGACCACCGTGCAGGGCTGACTCAGCATGGGGGTGGGTTAGGGATGTGGGCTGCACTGGTCAAGGCCCAGCTTGGCCTATTTTTGTCTCTCCGAAAAGACGAAAGGCTTCAAGAGTTTTCTTAAAACAGCTTTTCTGAAGGAGGCTGCTGGCAGCGTGGGCTGCAAGGAAGGGCTCCTTCTTCACCTTCCCCCCAACCAAGCTGGTCTCCGAGGAAAGTGGAAGCCATCAAAGACATCTCTCCTGCCGCCATCCCCAGGGAAGCGAGCGGCTACCTTCCCACCTGATCAGCAAAAGGCCACCAGGATGAGCAGGGGAGCAGGGCAGCCCCACCCTGCACCCCTCGCTTGTCCCCTAAGAACTTACCGATGTTGGGGTGCTTCAGCAGGCGGCAGATGCGAGCTTCGCGCTCCAGCTTCTGATGGTCTGAAACACAGATAGATGCCCAGGTGAGTCCCAGGCAAGGGAGGAATCTCCACCCACTCCACCTCTCCCTCCTACAGCCTCTTATGACCTCCGTCTCCAAGGGCAGCCCCTGGGCCCTGAACAAGTTTGCCTTTCAGGCAGAGCCTCTGGGTGGTTTAAGGAGGCGGTGAGATGCAGCAGAAGAGGGAGAGGCTGGGGTTGTGATGATGCAGAAGTCTCTTCTGGGCCTCAGTCTCCAGGGCTCTCCAGTGAAGGGTATCCCTGAGCCCCTTCCTTTATAAGACCCAAACTCTAGGAGGCCTGGACCGTCCCACAGCCAAGGCTCCTGCTGCCCTCCTCCCGCCCGGCCCCCCATGCTATGCTCCAGCCAGACTGAACTCCTGAATTTCATACCTTGCTTGGCCCTCTCCCTTTGGGACCCTCACACACCGGCTCTTTCAGCTTGGAACATTCCTCCTTCACCTCCCACTGGTCTTCCATTAGCCATCACTCACTCCTACCCATCCTTAGATGTTGCCCTCTCCAGGCAGCCTGCCCTGATTGCCAGGTTGGCAGGGGCTCCTCCTCTGTGCTCCCAGGCCCCTGGGCAGCACGTTTCACTCTGTCTCATTGATCTCTACCCTCGGGGGCAGGTACTTGGTCTCTGGCCTCTACTCGAATGCTTGGCACATTGTAGGTGCTCAAAAACTAACCGAATGGAGGAACAAATGATTAAATGAGTGAAGCTTTCTAAGGGGGTGGATATTCTCCGCAGAAGAGCTGCACCAGTTTGCAGAAGCCACCTCCCTGGCAGAGGACGCAGAGATCCCCAAAGAACCTGCCAGGTACAACTTGCATCTGGCTCACCCAGAGTTCTCACTCCTGCCTTCCAGGACGTTTGTTCAAATCCCCTGGGTCTCCCCACCCGCCTGGGAGAGAGGCCTGGTTCAGGACCTGCCACCTGTGGTCCCTGACTCCGAGGCTGCCGGAAAGGGTCATATCCACTTCAGTCCTCCCAGAGACCCTGGCTGTGGGTGTCACTGTCCCCTTTTTATAGAAGAGGAAGCTGCAGCCTCATCGGTGGCAGAGCCGGGACTGAAAATGTATTTCCCCATTCCCTTCCTGGTGCTTTTCTCACAAGTCAGTAGTGAACACCTTAATTTAAAAACAAAACAGGAGAACAGGAACCTTTTACAAAGGTAGAATGCTTACCATGCGCGAGGCCCTGTGTGGAGAGCTTTATGGGCATCTCAAGCCCTCACTACAACCCTCTGAGGAAGGTGTAATTACTAGTCCGGCTTTTAGGCGGAAGAACCACAGGTTTAGAGAGGTTAAGTCGCTGGCCCAAAGTTACATCCGTAGTGAGCAGTGGAGCCAGGCTTTGTACCCAGGCATCAGACTCCACGGGTGAGCTTCAAAATCCTGTGCAATGCTGTTCTCCACGCCCTGACAAGTCGCCAGCACCTCTGCCTGTCCCCAGTTCTCAAATGGGAAAACCAAGGCCCACAGGAGGGTTCTCACACAGACACTCACGGGCAGAGCGGGGACTGGAACCCTGGTCTTCCAGTGGCCCCTTCAGAGTAGGCAGGCACCGCGGAGGGTGGTGAGGATGGAGAAAGTCCCAGCCCCTGTCCCGCGGCAGCCAGCTCTCCTTTCCCCACCCCCTTTATTAGAGCATTAACTGGCTATCCTCCAAGGGCTGCAGAAGCCAAGATCAATACTGAAACATGGCTTTTCCGACAGCAAAGCGATTAAATCCAATCAAGTTTTCATAGAGTGCAAGCTCAACTCCCCAGCTAAAGACCAGCTGCAGGCTGGGGAGGGAGGGTGGACCCAGGGGCGTTCCCTTAATACCTCATCTCTCCCTGCCTCCTTCCATATCCTTGTGGGGGAGGACGGTCAACTCCAGGGCAAAGGAGGGGAATACCCATCACCTGGTGGGCAAAGGGCCCTCTGCGGGCTGAGGAAGGCTGGGCCCGCCTCCTGCTCCATCCCCTGCCCCTCCACCCCCACCATCCCCAGCAGATCCAGAAACCAGGCAGGTCAAAGTTGGGCCTATCAGAGTGGCCTGGGGCACCGGGAGGGGCGAATTCATAATTCTGGTGTTTCCTCCATAGGAAGTCGCCCAGGAGCAGGGTTAGACTGACAGGATTGAAAGAAGAAACCATTGGTCACGCAGCTTCAGGCTGGTGCCTGGTTACCAGACCTCACTGCTGGAAATGCTAGGAACTAATTGTTTTTATAAATCTTATAATCATCTTGTGCATAGTACAATTACATTGCATTGCAACTTTCAGTGCTCAGAGCACTAATTTATTGAATGGATACATACATGTTATACAATAATTTTTGTAATTCTGAAATATTTAGACTTTCTAGTACTATACAAGAAACCTCAACAAATGTAGGGATTGTATTTGTTTTGACCTCTGAGGCCTTGCTCTGTTATGTAGATGGGGGAACTGAGGCACAGCGATGAAGAAGCAGTCCCTTTATCAAAATCACTCATCAAGATGATCCAGCCTTATTAGAGCTCAGAGCTTAGAGAATTCACTCCTACTCATACCCCCTATCCCCCCAGCCATCAAGTCCAGGGCAGCCAAGGAGCTCTTATTAAAATATAAAATAGATCCTGTCACTACAAGGCTTCAGACTCTCCAACAGCTTCCCAACGTACATATAACACAATCCAAATACCTCACTGCAGCCAACAAGACCTGTTGGGTCCTGCCACATCTTGACCTGAAGCTCCAGCCACATTGGTCTTATTTTGGGCCTGGAGCACACCGCACCCTCCCCACCTCAGGGCCTTTGCACTTGCTGTGCCCCCTGCCTGGAATGCTCTTATCCTGGGTCTCCTCATCACTCCCTCCTCTTTTTTTCTGAGTGCCCCTCCTGCCGCACCACTTCCCCATTACCCTGCCTTATTTTCGTCATACCACTCATAGCTTCCCGAGATCACCCCGGAAGCCTATCTGTGTGTTTCATGCTCTTTTCAGTCTCCCTTCCTAGAAAGCAGATGCTGTGAGATCAAGGCCTTCTTTGTCAGTCACTGCCACGTTCCTAGAGCCTGGAGCCCAGCTCATCGAAGATCCCATAGTTACACAGTGGCCGAGCTGGGATCTCAATCCATATTTATGATTACTATACTATATTGTCTCCTATTCTAAGAATTAATTAATTGCCAAATCAGGGAGTCTCATGATGGGGAGAGGTCTGAGGGAAGCAGGTCTGCAGCTCCCAGCCTAGGTGCCTGGAAAGATCACTCCTAATGTCCACAACATAACTTGTGGGCCTTCCCCCTCCCTCCCTGGGGTTTTGGAGACCAGCCCTACCCAGAGCTCAGCAGGCATCGGCGAGAGGAAACTCTGGGGGTAGGTTTCTGGAGCCAGTAGGGCAGGGTGGGACAGAGAAGAGGTGGAGGAGGTGAGGGGAGAGTGCAGTCAGGCAGCTTGGAGAGCTCTCTGCCTGCCAAAGGGCCGGGTTCCAGCAGACAGGTGGGCTCCGGGGGAGAGAGGCCTCCTGCAGGCAGGTGGGCAGCGGGATTCTGACCAGAGGCACCAGAACCAGGAGAGAAAATAGGCCTCCAGCTCTGGAACAGCCAAGCCCCACCCTCTGTGGGGCCTCCTCAGGGCTCCGTAAATAATTCTGAGGACTGGGAGTGCCAGGCAGGGGTGGGGAGGAAGATGAGGACAAGAAAGATGCCTTCCTGCCACCTCATAGGCTCCCTCATGCGGACCTGAAGCTCAGGGGCAGCCTGAGTGAGCTGGTGCCGTGCTTCCTACCCAGTGGCCTGAGACTGATCCCCACGGAGCCAGAGCCAAGGGAGTGACCCCTCAGCACCAGGATGGACAGCACAGCCTGTGGAGGTCGCTATACCTGGATCAGTCATCGCCGGCTGCACCAGCTGCATCCATATGCCCAGCAAGGTTAATGACCGTGTTGTGCATGTGCCTGGTGAGCAGAGGCTAGAAAGCACACAGAGCTGCTGACAGGGAGTTAGCGCCGCACGATACTCAGCACAGGAATTTGTCTATGCAGGCACTCAGGCCTCACCTGCTGATCCGACCCTTGGGGCGGAACTGCCTGGGGCAGCTGCATTTTTATAAAGACACCCACAGGGATTTGGCAGGGATTGGGGCAGGCAAAATTTTTACTTTTCATTTCACATGTATACGGTTTCTTGGAATTGTTTATTTCATGAGCGTTTTATTTAAAACACTAGTTTAAAAATATGTACAAAAAAACATCTCCTGGGTTTGGGAACCGCTGGATACAAGAGGCTGGGTGGGAAAGAGGAAGCCGCAGCTCCCTGGGGGTTGGACAGATGCCCCGAGTGGGTACGGCCCCCCGCCCGGAGCTGCCAAAGTCACCCGAGAGTGCCAGCAGGAGAAGCTTAGAGTGTGTTGCCAAATATTCAGTCTCAAGCCATTTTCTACCCTAGGCACCTTGAGTGGCAAACAAAGAAACCTGTTAAAAAGAACTCGATTCTCCTCTCCCGCGGGGGAGAAAGCATTGGCAGTTGGCATGCTGCTTTGGAAAGGTTCCCCTAAGAATATCCCCATCCCATCCTCCATACTCACCTAGGCCTGGGCCACCTTCCTCCCTGGAACTCAAAAAATTGCCAAAAAGAGGGGCCATGGCGGTTAGTACCTGGCACAGCCCGTTGCGTGCACTGGCCGGGAGTGCTTACTCACCTTCTGAAAAGGCAGCGATGCCTCTCCGTTCTTCCCTGCACTCCTGTGTGTGTGTGTGTGTGTGTGTGTGTGTGTGTGTGTGTGTGTGTGTGTGTGTGTTAAATTGACCGAAGACCCCCGCATCCAGGAAGGATCTTGCTTCCTGACCCTCCCTCATTCGGGGTCAACCTCAACCTCACCCTGTCACCCCAAGTCATGACTCTAGTCCTGCCCCCACTATTTTTCAGGGATTGGGACATCTCCTTTGCTCACTGGAGGTGCAAATCAGAGAAGGGCACCAGATTGCCACTAGTCACACAACAACAGCAAGGCCCGTCCTACTATCTGGACTTGAGGCCGCGCTCTGGCCGGCCATCCTACCACCCTGGCCCCGGCTGCTGGTTCTGGCTCCGACTCCGGATCTTCCTGAGGTCCCTTCCTTTCACACTGGCTTTCATGTGGACCATGTGCCCTTGGGGGCCCTGGGTCTTCAAAGAACTCCCACCCCCATCCTCAGCCTCTTCTCCCTGCAGGACATTGGCTGCCCACAGGGGAGTTCGGTAACTAAGACAAAGTGCCGGGCTCCCAGTAGCACTGAGTCGGGGAGATGAAAGGCAGCAACACAAGGTCTAACAGAGGGCCTGCTGGAAGACATGTGGGGGACAGCGTGAACATCCTGTACCAGCCTCCATGAGCCTTGCACCTGCCAGGCCCTGGCCCAGACACAGCTGCTGCCTGCACCAGGCAAACACCTGGACACTGCATCAGCCCTGCAGACAGCATCTCCCACGTGGCACAAGCCGTGGCTGCACAGCCCGCACCTGCACCAACCCACCTACCAGAATTCCCTCCCCCACTCAGTGGTCCCCCAGGGCAGCTTAGACACTGTTCATACCAGGGATTGAATCTTTGAAGGCAGCCTTCCCCAACACACTGACCGTAGTCACCGCCATTACTGCTCTAATCAGATGCTAAAGTAAAGAAGCAAGACTTCTAGGCAGGCTTCCCAAATTTTAGAGTCCACACGAACCACCAGCCTGTCTTGTTAAAAGGCAGCCTCTGGTTCCTTAAGTCTGGAATTAAGAATTTGCATTTTTAATGATTTCCTGGTGATGATTCTGCTGCTGGTCTCAGATCACTTCCAAATTAAAATTACCCAGGGATCTTTCCCAAATCCCAGGTCACACTCCAGGCTAATTAAATCACAGCCTCTGGGGGCGGGACCCAGGCAGCAAGAGTGTTTGAAGCTCTCCAGGGGATTCCAAGGTAAAGGCAGGTTTGGAAGTCACTGTCCTAGGGAGTTTTAGGGACCAGAGATCAGACTGACGTGGTTGAAGCAGAACACCGGGAGTTCACTGGACACTGGTTGAGCACCTAGGATATAGAGGGCGCTGTCCTAGGTACTGAACATATCACAAAGAATGAGACCCATCCTAACCTCTTGGAACTCCGAGTCAAGGGGAAAGGGGGATGTTAAACAAGGAACCAAGCCAGTAAATAGATTAAGCCCAGGTTGGCAGAAAGCCACAGGAAAGTAAACAGTAATGAGAAGTATAAAATGGGAGAGACACCCTCAGATTTGGGGGTGAGGGAAGTCTCTCAGAGTATGTGACATCAAGCTGAGACCCGAAGATTGAGAAAGAGCCAGCCTTATAAGGAGCCAGGTGAGGGCATTCAGGCAGAGGAACCAGCAGGTACAGAGGTCTGGAGGTGAGAATGGGGATGAGTAGCAGACAAGTAGGGAAAGGAAGTCCCACCTGGCATCTTAGCCTTCACCCGGGTGTTGAGGCAGAGAGCTTGGCCTCTCAGAGGTGCTGTGACCTTAAGGAAGGAAAGTGGAAGGGTCTGTTCATAATACCCACAGGAAGAAGAGGTCTCGCCCCTGCTGGCAGCATTGCCCATAGGGACAGACTCAGGTCTTGCTTCTAAGCCAAGGGGTAGAGAGAGGAGTGAAGGGAAGCAGAGCCCCAGGGATGGGAAGTCATGGATTGCCCACCTACCTCTGGCTGAGAGTTTCTTGGTGTTGATGATCTTGGCAGCATACTCCTGGCCAGCCAGCACCTTCACACACCTGCGCACCACCGAGAAGGCTCCCCTAGGAAGACAGAGAAGTCAGAGGGTGAGGGTGGGCTGGGGGCTGTGTCCCCAGGAGACGCCAGAGTCCTTGCAGCTGGACCGTGGTGGGTGGGGAGCTCTCCTTCAGGGCTGCCCGAGCTCATAGGGGCTGCTGTGGCCAACTCAGGGACAGAGCAGGGCCGCGGACCCAGGAAAACTGGGAGAACCACTGGTGGTGGATTAGTCGAAGCTTGGCCTCACAGGAGGTGAGCCTTCCAGAATCCCAGTAAGTTAGGCCTACCCAACTGTAGAACCTTAGAATTAAGTCATGCTAGAAACGCAGAATCTAGGTTCCCAAAAGCTTTCAGTGTTTTATTCTTTGAGTAGGTAACACGTAGATGTTCAAAGTTCAAAAGATACAAAAGACTCCCTCTCACCCCTATACCCCAGTCTCTGAAGCCCCCTCCCAGAGGTGGCCACAGACACCCTCCCCGACACAAATGCTGCTGGACCTCGCAAGCTGTTCTGCATCCTCCACTTTTCAGTATTTTGGCGACTCTCCTTCCATTACACAAAGAGCTCTTCATGCTGTCATGTTTAATCATGTGGCTGTCCTGTAATTTACCTAGCCAATCTCCTGTCGATAGGCAACTGTGATACACACATATGTGTGTGTTAGCATTATGTTTCCCACATGTGTATGTGTTTGTGGATAAATTTCCAGAGCCACTGTTATTTGGTCAAAAGGTAGGTGTTGTCTGGAAATTTTGATAGATAATAAGAGATTTTCCGTCTTAGAGATTGTGCCAACTTACGGCAAGGGGACCATTTTCCCCTGCTCTTGTCCATGTGGCGCTCAATCAAACGTCCTTATCTTTGCTAGTGAGACAGGTGGCAAATGGCAAATGGCAACTCAGTGTAGATCTGGTTTGGAATTATCATACTAAGAGTGAGGCTGAGCATCTTTTTGTGTGATTTAGGATGCTCCTTGGATTTCCCCCTCAAAGTATTGGTAGTTGGAAGAGAACCTGAAGCAAGCACTTACGTGAGATTTCTCCATTTTGAAATACTGGCACCTTATTTTTTAAAAAAAGTAAACATAGTATCAGGCCAAACAAAACTAGTTTGAGGGCTAGATCTGTCATCGAGGTGTCATGTGGCACCCTCGACCACGAAGGTCATCTGGCCCAACCCCTCCATGTCACAGAGGAGGCTCCTGAGAGGCTGGACAATGACCATGGTCCCAACCGCAGGTTAGTGGCGTGCAGTAAGTCAGCGGCGAGTCTGAGCGGCGAGCTTCCCCACTTTTAAGGTCCATACAAATTGCCCAGGTGTGTTGCTAAAATGCAGATTCTGATTCCTTCAGTCTGGAGTGGACCCAAGACTTTGAGCTCCAGCATAGCTCAAAGCCTGGCCCTTCTCCTGGAGGAAGGCAGCAAGGCCGTCACCCTCCTTGAGAAGCCTCCCATTGCAGGTCCTCCTGACAGTGCTCCCAGAAGCCATATACCTCCCTCTCTAGCCCAGGTTTGCAGCTGCTCTTCTGGCTCGTCTCTCCCACCTGACGGTGAGTTCCCCTAGGGCCAGGACTTGAACTTTCTTTTCCACGCCCCCATGCCCGTCTACCCACTGTCTGCTGCCAGCTGGGACTCCATAGATGCCACTTGCAGGAACAGAGGTAGATTTAAGCAACAGCAAGAGCGACTGAAATGAGACAGGGGAGCAGGAGGGCATAAGGAATAAGAACAGGCATCTGAGGAAGGGAAGGCCCAACTGGTCTCTCAAAGGTGCTCATGCTACCCAGGCAGGGGGATGGACCCGAACACCTCCAGGTTCCTGCTCAGGTTCCCTGCCCAGCCATGATTTTCAAAGGCCCCAGCAGAGAGAATGATTAAAGTGGCCATTTCTGGGAAAGGTTCTGAGAACTCCAGGGAGACAAAGGGTGGGGAAGGAGGGGCCCTGTAGGCTCCTAAGTGCAGGGCTAGGTTTAGTCCTGCTCACAAGCATCCAGCCCACGCTTGGTCTGATATGGGAGAGAGGGACAGAGGCGGGGAGGAAGTGAAGGAGGAAGGGAGGAAGCGGGAAAGGCGGGGAGGAAGAAAAGGAGAGAGGAAGGAAGGGAAGAAAGGAGGGAGGGAGGGAAGGAGGGAGGGAGATAATTTCTCCACTAGAAAAATGAAACTCCATTCTAGGTAAACACTTTAAATCAATGGTTATCAAACTGGCAGCTTCAGAATCCTTGCATGCGGCGTGGTGGGGGGCTGTTCTTTAAAAAATATGTATTCTAAAGCCCTGTTCAGACCTACGAAATCAGAAACTCTGTGTGGACCCAGGGAATCTGTATTTTAACTGAACACGCTGTCCCAGCCAGCTTGGCACTGCCACCTTTTGGGGGAGGTCCTCCCTGAGGTCCTCACCACCCTGGAAATCAGCACTGACAGGGGGTCGCCTGGAGCTCTGAGCACAGAGGCTCCACAGGCAACATGCACCTGGCTCTGTTCCAGGAGCTGATGTCCTAAGAGTCCCGCCTACAAGCCAGGAGATGTGCTAACCTTCCTCCTCAGAACACAGCCCTGAGCTGATGAGTAAATCCGAGGTTCTCACTCAAGGTCCAGGCCATGGGTGGGCAGTCTTTCTGTATCCCAGAAGGCCATCTTGTGCCTGCGAGTGGAGGTATGTGCATTGTTTCCCCTGGGGCAAGGATGCCTGGCTTTTAGCAGATGCTTAGAGGGAGGAGTTTATCAAAACCAGGTCAGAGTTATGGATCCAGAGGACACCAGCCTCCCTTCAACGCACAGTTACCACTAAGCTCCTCTGGGCCCTCACAGTTGTGGAATTCTGATCTCCCATTTAACAGATTGAGAAACTGAGGCCTCAGTGAACAAGAATATTCATAGTAAGGCTGTGAAGACATCCCAGGTCACTTGCCTGTGCTCTTCTGCCTCCACCAAAGGCAAGAGAGCATGACCCTCAAGAGCAGGGGCTCTGGGCTCACAAAGCCCTGTGGTCCGATCATGACTCACCCCCAACTGACTGTGTGATACTGAACTTGGTGCTACACCTTTCTGTCTCCTCCTATGAAGTGGAGACAATAACAGCCCCTACCTCCTTCCCGGCTATGTTGGGGAGATTAAGGGAGACAACACCTACAAAACTCTGGGCATAGTGCCAGGCACATAAAGCTTCAGATGGGGTGAGGAAGGGCCTGAGCCAAGGAACCCCTCTTTCTACCTGCGCAGCTTCAGATCTTCATCTGCAGTGGGGAGGCTCCTCCCTTCCTGCCAAGGCGCTGAGACCAGGGAGACAAAGGGCAATGGGAAATCTGCAGCAAAAATGAGAGCAGGGGCAGCGAGCCTGCTGCCCTAACTTCCTCCTCTTTTATCTTCTGTTGAAAAAGGGCATTTTTCTGCAGTCTCGTCCTACATGAGCGAGTGGCCACAGCACAGCTGCCTTGGCAAAGAGGACAGCCAGCCCACTCCTCCCCCGGCCCTGAGCTGAGCAGGTGGCCAGCAAGTGGGTGGGCAGGAGCTTGGAAACAGGACAGAGTGCGAGAGGGGAGGAGGCCCAGGTGGGGAGGGCAGGGCGGAGGGAGTGACCAGGGCTCCCAAGAGGAAGGGATGAAGCCTGCGTGCGAGAGCCCTGGGGAGAGGTAGGGAGCCGCGAGGGTGGTCCTGGGAGTGCCTATGAAAGTGCTTTTGGGTGCAAAGTGGTCAAGGAAATGGGTCTGCCTACAGGTGTGCGCTGGGAGCCTGGTCAATGCCCTGGAGCATGGGGTGCCTTGTGGCTCTGGGTGTGACGAAGCACAGATACATCACCCTGCGTTTGAAGTGCCTACCCATGTTATCGAGAGGGCCACAGAAGGGGGCAGGGAGAGGTGAGCGTGTGAGGCAGACACTGGAGGGACAGAATCTCAGGCCTCAGCCATGCTGGGAGGTCTTGGGCCGGGGTCTACATCAGTGTGGCCTCAGTTTCTTCATCTGCAACACGGGATTGGGGCGGGGAAGGGGCTCCGTAGCAGAGGCCTTTCCATCTTTAACATTCTATACCAGCACCGTCCAGCAGAACTTTCCGTGACAATAGAATTAGTCTGTGTTGTCCAGTGTGGCAGTCACTAGCCTCATATGACTCCAGTATTTGAAGTGTGGCTGGTAGGACTGACAAACATAATTTGTAATTCTGTCCCATTTAAATAACTGGAGGTGGCTAATGACCCCCTATTGGAAAGTGAAGTTCTATGCTGATAAGAACAGGCTCTCTAGAACCAGACCAACCAGAGTTTCAATTGTGGTTCAGCCGCTTACTAGCCAGTTCCTTAACCTTGGTGAGCCTCTTTCTTCCCCTTAAAATCAGATAAGAACAATGCCACCATGAGCAGCTTTTTCGAGGATTCAATGAGAAAATAAGGTCTGCAGTGGGTTAGCACCATCCCTGGGGTACGGTGCACAATCAGGAAACAACGCCTTTCGTAGGCATCATTACCTATGAAGTGATAAGAACAGCTGGCATCACCAGGAACAAAATGGACCTTGTTTGCCAAGTTCAGGGAAGAAGCAAGCGGGGAGGGGAGGTGGGCCCACGGTGAGGAGGGGAAGGGGCTGCTCCCCGAGACAGAGCAGAGCAGCCTGCCCTGGGTGTGCGGGCAGGGTCACGAGTGGAAAGGAGGCTGTGCCCAGCTCTCCTGACAGAGGGAGAGGGCACTGTGAGAGTGGGTCCAGCGAGGCTGAGAATGTGGGATTGTGCTAATGGGCTGTGAAAAGCAAGAATCGCACTGGGAAATTGCTTGCTGGATGCCTGGCAGGCACGGTGTCCTGGGAGTTGCTGGCTGCCAGCCCGCAGGGGCTCACCACGCTCCCTGGCCTGGAACACCCCCGGTGCGGCGCCCGGAGCATTTGGCTGCGAGTGGAAAGACCTGGGTCCTCACCCAGCTTGGCTGCCAGCTCGCTCGTCCTTCTGGGCCTCAGTTTCCCTATTTGAACGACGGAGGTGAGAAGCCCCAGCCCTACTTCCTTCTGGGCCATTTGAGAGAAGTCTCTGCTACATAGG